TTGTACTGAAAGTTGACCTGCGATGTCGGGGAAAGCTGCCTTGGTGAGTTCAAATATGAGCGCACCGAAGACCGTGAGGAAGGGAGCCGCCCATGTGCGAAAGAATGAAATGATGGGTCGAGCTTTCTGCCAGTCCTTGGTCGGCTTTGGAAGGATGCGCGCTGTGGGCAACGGTGCATGAAGTCGAAGTCCCCATGCGTATCGTTGACGTAGGAGAGAAGGTACCGTGGTTACCACTTCAGAGCGAAACGATGCTGCGGATTCGCGGCAAAGTGAGAAAACATCCCCCGCGCAGAATGTCTTCCGCATCAATATGGCAAACAGGGACGGGCACACTACATGTGCACGGGAGGGAAAATGATCCGCTGGGATAACTACCCAAGAAGACAAAGAGGCCACAGTGCGTTGCAACGATGCCGATGACCAATAAGCCTGATCTTGGAGGTTGATCCGATGGGTCTCCATTAACTGAGCCACGACCGGTTGTAGATCTGGAAGTAGATCGGAACCATGTACATGCCAGCGTCGAGCAAGTTTGCGAAGTTGCGTGGTGTAACGTTGATGCAATAGGTCGACATCACCGAAAAACTGATCCTTCATTGAGGCGGCCATGATCTCCACGTTAATGTCCGCATTGATGCGAGAAAAGTCATCCACCATTACTGCGTGACCATGTGCACGGAGTAGATGGTGGTCATCGATGTCTAAACAGCGACACGGAAAGGATGTGTCAGGCGTCCATTTACGCTGCCATGTGCGATAGTTGTATATCTTGTCGCCCAATGTGGCGCTGCGGGTTTCCACAACCCGGATCTTTGGAATGAAAAGAGAAGGGAACAGATCCCGATGGGAAGCAATCCAGTTTTGTAACCATGTGCCAAGTAGCGCTTTCCAATTTTGGACATGCAGCGGCGGCAAAAGTAGCTGTGTCAGAGTGGAGGGTGGTTGCAGCCGTCGTTTGCGCAGTACCTGGGCGAGTAGCTTCTGGGCCTTGGAGCGGAAGGGTTCGTTGACAAATACTGCGAGCCGCAATAAGTAGTACAGCTGAGTGGGAGGGAAAGCGGCTGACAGTAGGTCACGCATGACTTGGAACGACGCTCCTGTATTCGATCCCAGCTGATAGAGGATCGAGTAGTGGGCTTGAATGTCATCCAGGGTGTCAGGTCGTAGTTGCCGTTGGAGATCCGGATGTAGTCGTCGTCGAAAGCGCTTGTGCAAGCCGATGGAAGTGGGCGTCGACAACGAGTGGCGTCGAAAATCTACAAGATGTTCCCGGAAGCCAACCTTGCGCAAGATTCTGTGTACCCAGGGCGCATTCAAATGCGGGCGTAGCAGGTATTGCCATTTGCTTTCTTGAACCCACACCGAGGAAACTGGAAGTCTGATTTCCACTGGTACAGCACAGAAGAGCCAGTAAGTATTGGATCGTTTCCAGCAGTGAAGCGCCGGTTCAAAGAAGGCATGCCGTCCACGAAGTAGTTGTAGAAATTTGCGACTGCGTGAGTGTTCACGACGTAGAACATCCTGATCAGTCGCCCCAACATAGTATGGTGTGGGGGCATGGGGAAAGTCGAATGTAGACGCACGGTTGTTGGTGATGACCTGGATCATGTATGAAGTCGTAGAGGTCAGGAAATCGCGCCCGCAATGAGCGTAGATGTCGCGAGTCAGCGAAAGTCGAGTGCATGATTTCACACAAGAGAGAAGTCTTGTAGAAGTGAAGGACTTCGAAGAACGGCGGGAGGTAGCCGTGATCCTGTGAAATGAGACGTTGTAAGAAACTGATCAATAAATAGGCAGCGCACCGACATCTGTGAAGTTCATACCTGTTGGCCACGGTGTGCTGAGAGTTGGACATGGCGCAATTCGGAATCTGGAGGGCTATCCGGACCACAACTAAGACCTCGAGGATGAGACCCAGCCACGGCAATTGTGTGATGGATTCGTACTCCTCAAGTGGAATCGACGGTGGTGGTAGTCCAGGGAAACAGTAATGCCAGCACGTCGAGAATGTAGTCAACGAGTGCAGAAGGTCGTCCAGCGACTGCCATTGTGCAACATCATCATAGATTCCGCAGTGGCGAAGTTCATCCAACATGGTGAGATGCAACCAACGAAATCTACCACAAGGCGGCGACATAAATACAAGCATCTCAGACAATCACACAAGAGGCAACGCAAGAACAAGCAAGTACAAGATCAATCATGTGCAACGCAAATACTTGACGGACGAATTTTCACCTGGACTCATCCGTGACATTGTTGCCGCTCCGGGCTCATATGAGATCGAAGGTCGAAATGATGCCTTCTCATCCACAAAGCAGGCGAGCGGTCACGATGAGGTGACTCAATGCCTTCTCGGTGAGTTTGGTAAGGTACCCGGGTTCAAGACCCCATAATGCTGCCATTGCACCGAGTGTGGGCGCATCGCCCTTCGGCATGCGCTGCCTGGCCTGAAGAAGCTGCGTCGCCATAGAATCTAATGACTTGTTGCCGTTGAGCCGGGACGGGTGATTGGCCCACTTAACCAGCGACGCCAAAGTGGTTGTTGTGGGTGCTTGCTTGAGGAAAAGGCGAGGTTGGTCACTGGTCCATGTGTAGTACTTGACAACTTCATCCGGCGTGCTGTGCATGGTGAGCAACTGTGACGCCGCCGGTTTGGACGGCGGTGACGACACTCCGTGAAGAGACTGCATGATCCGTGGTTGCACCACGCTATCAAACGACTTGCCATCCAGGGCGGCCGCGCTGGCTGTGGGAAGGGAGCTGGCAGGTGACGAGGATGGTGTGTGGTTGACCGGTGGCGGTGTAACCAACTCTGCATCATCTTTCTGATTTGTCATCGTGGGCGAGGTCGATGCGCGAAGTGATGCGGAATACTGAGCTTGGAGAAGTTCATGCGCACGATTCAAATCATTGAACTTCTTGACCATGTCATCATTCTGGGCAGCAGGTGCGAGAGAGGTGTGATGTTGTTGAAGAAATTGAAGTACCAGGTTGGCCAAATGGTCGTGGACCTTGATGCGCTGATTGAAGTCATCAATGTTGAGACCCAACGTGTTGGCAAGGTCCTTTTCCAGGGTGAGCAGGTTGAGTGACTGCGATCTTCGTAGTAATTTGGAGCATGTACTCCAAAGTAAGGCCTCAGTGCGAGTGCGAAAGCCTTCCCACGTCACGAATCGGCCGTGTGCAAACGGCCTGAGTAGCCAGTTGGTGAGGCCCCCGTGGATAACCTGAACCAGGCGTACGTCCCTAATATCCATGCCTGACATGTCGCGAAGGTTGCCATGTGGAGTGTTGGCAACAGTCATGGGCAGGCTAAAGTTGTAGAGTTGGTTGACATCAAACATGCCGTCTGCAGGTGTCCAGTCAGGCGAGGGAGTAAGCCAGGCTTTCTGAGGACGAACCGGTAGAGCTGTAGGAGGTCCAGGTGAAGGTGTAGGTGTAGGTTGGGAGGTAGTGACCGGTGGTGGCATCATTGGTGGCATGAACTTGGATGGCGTGGGTTCAGGAGGGATCGGCATCATGTAGTTGATCGCCGGGTATTGGAATTGCTGTGTGGGGTTGTGAGTCGATTGAAAGTTGGTAGGCACCATCGGAAAGTTGTTGGCAGCGTTGTAGCCGGAGTTGTGTTGCCATGAAACCAAGTTGTTCCAATCCATGTTCTCCGAGACCTGGTTGTCATTGTGTTCGCGTCGGTGTGCTTTACGAGCTTGAGGGGAAGGACTCCGATCACGTCTGCGTCGAGTCCTGGATCTGTCACGATCATCACGTCGAGACATGGTGACGCAACTAAATCGGAATTTGCACACTTCCACCTTGAGAGAAACGAATCCGACAAAATGCAAGTCAATGCAAGTTCAAGTCAGCGGCGATCAGTAGCAAGTCAATGCAAGTTCAAGTCAGCGGCCATCAGCAGCAATGGTGATAGAAACGAATCCGACAAAATGCAAGTTCAAGTCAGCAGCCATCAGCAGCTATGGTAAGAGCAACGAATCCAACAAAATGCAAGCCAATGCGATTCAAGTCAGCAGCCTTCAGCAGCTATGGTGAGACGTCGCTATGATCTGACAGCTGTCTTCCCTTTAGTGAAACCTCGTTCCTGGTTAAATGTGAAATTCCGCTGTTCTATGATACGCACGTTGAGGTCAAATTTTCCGACAGAGCCGGCCCGGGGTCACACAATGGGTACACCCGAGGATTCCCCACGAATGGGGTGTACACACTTGAACTCCAGATGGAGAGTGCTAATCTTTCGAGTACAACTGATGAGTCTCGAGTACAACCGACAAGTCTCGAGTACGATGAGTTTCGGCTCGCAATGCACTTGGCTTCCCTGTAGGTACTTTAACAGGGAAACACAAACAACGGCGGTTCAGGGAGGGGACCAAAAGGACTTTCAGCAACATCACGACGCAGGTACAGGTGTCCACGTCTGGACACCCTTCCCACCTTTGGCAGTAGCTTCATTGCGTGCAGTATGCCAAAGGTGCTGCACGCCCCTGCTGCGAAATAGAAAGGGTGGTGACAGGGCATTCTGTCACTCCGCACACACACACACACACACACATACCCACTCTGGGATCTGAATTGGCGAAATCCGAGTTGCTTGCATCTCTTTCGGCGGATGCCCCTTTTTGTATATGAAGGGAATGAACACCCCCCTTCCGCCGGTCCCCTACACGAATTTGGGGCACACCCACCATCTACCGGTTTATTCCTCGGACCTTTACTAAACATACCTTTGTTTGTAGAGGTATCCAAAGCGGGTTTCTTTTGGAGCATGAGGCAATTGTGACATAGTATGGCAACGAAGCACCGTTTAGACAATTTTACTGAGTTACTGCTTCGGTTGTCTCCTGTTGTGCCTCTCCCCAAGATTTGCTTCACACAAACGAACAATACCTTGCCTTGTTCACGATCAATTTGCATCTTCTCAACTTGCGACTGTCGTCCCCGACGGCCGCGTCCACGGCCCGATGGCCCGACCCCCGCGTCAGGCGCAGCGCTGGGAGTTCGCCCTGGAACTCCTGTCGCTCATCCGCCGGGGACCCACCTCCCCTGGAGGAAGGGGGGATCGGTGGTACGCGTGCGGGCAGACAACGGCAGTGCTAGATGCCGTGGCTCAAAGTACCTGGGTTGTTTTCGTTGGATAACTTTAAGGGAGGTCATTTTTGCGTTCATGTCCCGCGCTGAATCGAAGGCTGATTGCTTTGCTGTTGTGAAAATGATCCAAGCTGCGGCCTGCGCCACTCGGGGGACGCCCTTGAAAGGGAGCCCATAAATTCACGCGTGGTTGATTCATAGGGAGCCCCTAGATGCAGCGTCACTTGGGGGGAAACACCAGCAATCCATCAGGTCAGGTGCACGAATTTAAGGTCAACAATCATGTTATTGTCTCTCTGACTTAGGCGTTCATCGCATCTCTCCGGACGTGGTGAGCTTTAACGCAGCCGTAGGGCAGCCCAAGATGCTGGACGGAAAGCGGGAAATGTGGAACTCTATGGAAGTTTGTCGTGCTTGGCCACCTGGGTTCTGGCCCCCTAGAACGGGACAGTTCGGGCTAAATGACAAACCACGTCTTCTGCCTTGCCGCTTTTTGGTTGGGTCACGGTCTGGGAGGACAAAAGTCATTGGGCGGTTTTCGATTGGGACCCGGTCCAGACAAGCACTTGGTTGAACACCAAAACTGGGTGCGGAAATTGGCAGAAAGGAAATTCAGCAAGGCAAACTCCAGAAACCTGTTCTTGATACAGTAGTCAGGGGGATGGCCCTTTTGTATTACGGAACTGGTGATTTCCGACCACCATGCTTCTCGGGGCCGGCTGGTGCGATTCTAAGACGGTTCTAAGGTGTGCTTCCTGATGCAAAGAGGGGTTGAAAGAAACGGGGGTGTCCATTTGCCTGAGAATCTGCTTCTTAACTTTTCTTGGTCGATCCCCCATCCTCTTCACCCCTCATTCTCTTGACACATCAATCATGTTCCCTGGGCGATCGCCAATTTTCTGAAGGGAAGAAGTTCTTCTCCAGTTGGGAAGAATGGGGAAGGTACAGCAGCGATGCGTTACCCTCTTTCCAAACCAGCGCAGAAGTGGGTAGGAGGAGTTCGGAAGACCCATGCTCTTACAACGGCCCTGAGCCTACTTCCATTCAGCAACAAAGGCACAAGGGGTCATTGACTCGGTGGGGGTCCGTCAGCGAACCTGGCAACTGCTTGTTGTGAATCAATGCAGCAAGCAATAACCCTAGTAGAATTGGAGACGAAACAACCGCATAAATGGTTATCTTATGATCATGACCAACATATGGCTTTGAAGCACCCCACAGCCCAGACACCAAACATGCATAGCCCTAACACATCCTCGATGGCTTGCAGATGACCTCACTCAGTCAAAGCCAAACTTTGGAAGTCCGGGGCTTTTAAACCATTTGACTCCAAATCCTTTCAGTTCGCCGAGCCCCTTAATTCCGGTTTGGGAACTCTACCTATTGTGTAATTGAATGTTGCTAAACTCTGATCGATCAATTTTGGTTAGCCACTTGCCCAGTGTTGGTTGTTTAAGCAGATTCGCGTGCCGTCCCAAGGGTGCAAATCTCACGGGCGCTTTTTCAGCGGACTGGCAGAAAGCACCGAGGCAAGCGCATGCGAGAAGCGAACTCAGTGGCGCAGCTTGGCCACTAGCAGATGCTCAGGGGAGATGATATGGCCCTGGGTCAACACCAATGGGATCCGATTTTGGGGTAGGTGCACCACCCATTTTAGAACCTATTTTAATGGGGATGGGGAGAAAAAACACATGGGCACAATTGACGTTTAAACGTAGACCGGCATGTGCTTGTTCTTCTTCAGGATGGATTTTCCAGCAATGTTGATTCCATAGTTGATGGCGAATTGAAGCAATGAATCAAGCATTGACGGGTTTTTTTCGGGCCGCAAGTGGTTCCCTTGCTCCGTTGAACGACTGCGTTTCTGCTTTTGAGCCCTTCTTGCACCAACAGACGGAACAGTTGAACCTTCCAAGGGGCTGGAGCTTTTGGGCTCGAGTGAGTCATTGGGAATGTTGGAAGGGGATATTTGGTAACGGTGGCGCTGGTCGCCTGGATTGAACTCACGCAACGTTCGGCTGTTAGCTCTGTAACTCCCAAATCTCAGCTGCGTACCTCCCGCTCGGCCTATGTCCTTTTGAGCCGCGTTGCGCGACTTTCTTGATTGCCCGCATCCTTGCCTTAGCACAGTGTGGACCGCAGAGCCACAGTACATTGGGCATTTGGCGCCAACCTGGCCTTGTGCAGTCGTCAGCTGCTGTGGCACCATGAAGCCGCTGCCTGCCTATGTCCTTTTCTTGAGTGGGCGCTCGCAGCTGTCAAGTCAATCTTCAACGGAAAGAATTCACAAGGCACGTCGACGCAGTGACAGCAATCAGAAAGTTGTCCAATGTCCGCGCAAGGCAGGCCATTCACAGTGGGTGGCTAACCCTGAAGTTCCGACACCCTAAGGGTCAGATGTCAAGGCGCGTCCGAAGCAAAGAGCTTGTCAATTTCGTGTGGAGGCGAAGCCTCGGCGATGCATCGCCCAATGCATTTCTTGGAGCAGTGGCAGCAGAGCTGCGCAAGAAGTAGTTGGTGGAAGTTTTTGGAATGCTGCTGAGCGAAATGAAGGACAGGCGACTCGCGCAACCATGACCCTCTAGTTTCCTGAAGGAGCATTTGCCAGCGAACCCCTTGTTCCAAATTTGAATTCAACCCCCCTTTGAGGATACTCTTTATTCCGAATCCCCGCGAAATGTCCAGAGGCTTTTGCTGCCCTGGAGTTCAACGTTCCAAGCGCCAAACATCAGGGGGGCGTTGGTGGCCGACGGCTTTCCTTCCAACCATGATAGGGGGCACCCTTTGCAAAGAGGGCCCCCAAAAGAAGTTTCCTCTGCAAACGGGGGTTTTCAGGGTTTGATGTTAACCTGCAGGAAGTTAAAGACGAGCAGTTTCCCAAGCAGCTCCGGTTTGATCCGGCATTAAGCAAAAAAAGGGAGCACCCTTATGCTCTTTCCAGTGGGGGGATGTGGCTCGTGTGCATGAGGTTGGGCGCTTTGGGTCTACGACAGCTTGATGAGGACACGGCTGATGTGAGTTCTGTGTGATGCGGAGGGTGGATGTCCGAAATGGAACCTGTGTTTCTTGTTTGTTGCCAGCATGGTTATGCAATGTTAGTGTTGGTGCATGTTGTCAGACTTCCTTGTGACGCAAAAGGATTAGGTTAATGCGCAGAGGCAGGGAAGGTGCATGTGCAGTTTGCCGCAGGTCAGCGTGGGTCGGGCTGGATGTTTGCGATTGCCAACATGGATAGATGTGATCCTGCATCGAAGGGACGCCCTGGACGTCATGAGCAAAGCTCACTGGAAGATCAATCGCTGTAAATTCTTGAGCAGCTATTTGATCCTTTCTGCGCTTTCTTATTAAAACGCTTTCGCTTAAACTACTTTCAGAGCTGGTAAACATTGGGATCTCCAGAATGTGCTCTTGCTGTTTCAGGGGCGCTATGGTCAATTGGGACACCTGCACGTTTTTTTGTTTAGGGCAACTAGGTGCATTGAGGCGCACAAACCTGTACGCAACGCAGCCCCCTAGATGGGCCAAGCTTTTGTGCTATTTGGATCGTCCCCTTTGCCCAATTCCGGTCGCGACAAACCGCGCAGCTCAACGGGGTGCAGCGTTGAGACTCCGCGTTCCAAAAAACAGTCCCATTAAGCAGAGCTGTGACAGCACTACCCAAAGTCATACGTGGTCATTGCACGGATGGCGCAAGCGACATTATATCAGACTTATGGCAACCTCACACAGGGAGGTTTACGCATCAAAACGAGAGAGAGAGAGAGAGAGAGAGAGAGAGAAAGAGAGAGGCCGACTTGGAGCGGAAACTGGTCTGGATGCACAAGGCGGATTGTGCGTACAATTTTCATGGGCGCTGCGCAAAAAGGCAGAAGGATCAGTTGTCCAGATCCATCGGGACCACCGCGCAAGCTTTATGTGTCTGCCATGGAAACAAAACATTGCAATGCCGTTAGCACAGCACCAAGCTTCCAGTATGTTCTGGGCGCAGCTCGAATGGAGTGGACCGGTCTTGGCTTGAAAGTTCTGGCACCAGCAGCTTGAGGAGTTGAAGGCACAATTGAAGATTGGGCAAACATGCCGGGAATCCCATACCCATTTTTGAATGGTCTGTGGACCTCATTAGCATTGAATTTGCGGGCTTTGCAGCCAGAGTGGGCCAGCCGAATTTCCCTGACCATTCTCCTCGCAATTTCGTATTTTACGGAGAAACACGGGAAGGGTGAGGATACTGCTCTGTTTGTGAGCAACTGGCGGGCGTTTGGAAATTTTGCCTGCGCCTGGTGCTTCTGCCTTGCAGCTTCACAGATTGTGGAACCTGAACAGGAGTCCTCGCAAAAGGGAGATTCCTGTAGCAAAGATGGTCGTTTTGGGGCTCGATGCTAATCTGCAATCCCCAAATGTTCTAGTTCTATTTCGGCCCATGCGCCAATGTGGGGTTAGTTGCATTTCTCCCGACTGTTCCTGGAGGTTTGCCCTAAGACGATCATTTCTTTGGATGTTTGACGGAAACTGTGGCAACCCCGGGACATTTGTTTACCCTGTGCTTCTTTGGGTACCTGATGTTCCCTGTTTTCTCGGATCTCGTTTGACAGCATTGCGCATTGCAAGGTTCACTGCGCGATGTTTGACCGGAATTTAAAGGGCCATTCCTGGTTCGGGGGCAAATGCTGAGGCACCCTTTGTCCAGCACTTATGGAAGTGGCCACCCGGGTTTTGGAAGACCAGCATGCTCTCCAAAAGGAACGTCTATGATTGTTGGAAGACGGGTATCTGCGAGAAACCAACAAACTACACAAGTCCTCAAAACATGTTTTCGCCCACAAAACAGCAACCTTTCCCAAACATGTTTCCCTGTCAAATATATTCTTGTGTCAGGTTTCCCTATATATCTCACCACATGTACTAGAATTGAATATTACCTGTTGGGCCAGTTTCAAGCGAGCCACAATCAAAGCCCAGTGTGATGAAGGTTACAAATGGATAGTCCCAACCATATACATGGGCGCAGCTGACTTCTAAACTCTTTACATTGTTTTGGGAAGACCCTTTTCTAATGCCAAGTTTTGACTGCGACTCAAGTGTGCTTTCCTCTGGTGGGGTGATGTTTTCAAGCCATGTCGCCTAGGGTCCCGATCCGCTAAGATCCTCCGAAAACGCGCGAGGACTTTGCCTGAGCGAAAGAGAGGCACCGTTCAGGGTGTGGGCAGGGCTAGGACGCACGGTGTGGGTGTGGGTGTGTTGGTTTGAGGGTTCCCCTTAGGTTGGTTCAACGCTTAGCAACGAAAGCCGCCATGTTCCGGGGGGGGGGGGTCCTCCTTTTTTGACATGCCCACTTCGGCCACCAGGAGAAAGGATTCCCATTCAAGGAGCCATGGCCCTGACCCGCATAACTTGCAAGTGTTTGTGAGGGCTCCATGTTGCACGAACTGTTAACCCACAATTGCGCGGCCAGTCCTCTGAACTCTCCAAGACACGCAAAAGAAGGTACTAGAACCTCGAAACCCTCCCTGCCCAGCGGTTGCCCCAAAATTGGCCACGGCCATGGGGTTTGGCGCCGGATTTAGACGGTCTCACATGGCTGCACCCATTTTAGTCTATTTTAGTTGGGATTGGGATGTTCACTGGGGGTACGGGCTTTTGACCCATGGCCAAATGAAAAGAGAGCCATGGGCCACAGGTTCACCGCGACGTTCAGGCGGACTTCTGAACATCAGCAACGCCTGCATCAGTGCCTGCGCCAAGGCGCGAGGGATCATAGTGAGGGTGCAGAGCTTCATGTTCAGCAAGCCCCAAGGTAGGCTTCAACCAAGAGGGCTCCCTGTGGAGAAACGAGCCTTGGGTGAGAGCCTACATTCAGGGCTAGTCAAAAATACAAGCCAGTTTGGGTGTGTTTCAAGATGAGCGGGGGGCACAAATCTTCGGGCAAATCATGACGAGCTCAGGGGATGAAACGAGTTCCCCGGGATGTGTGTGTGTGTGTGAATTATAGTAGCTTGCTTGCCACGCATACGCATGGCAGGGATGTGTATTTCCCCTCCAATCATGGACATGTGCACAGGCTTGCCAAAAGAGTGAAATTCCTACACCAGCCCGTCAGCGTTTGGGTTGGAAGAGTACATCCGTTTCGCGGTGTGTTTCAAGGGGAGCCCCTCGATAGTCTTGATAGGGAAGTCGGCAAAATTCCCATGCTTTCAGTGATGAGGGGAGAGCTTTGCCCGCACCTGCGCCAAAGCCAAAGCTGGTGCACATGCTGAGACAAGTTCCCGCTTTTCTCGAAGGTGCCCTTGTTTGGGTTATCTTGCAGGGAAACCAAAGGGAAGCCAACCATTTGCAGGGATCCCCAGTTGATTTCAGATTGCCCACAGAGAGCGATAGCGATAGAGAGAGAGAGAGAGAGAGGGCAGGCGCTGTGTTGGCAGCATGCGTTGCTGCTGGCGTCGGCGGCTCAGCTGTCTATCTTCAAGCTCACCAATTCCCAGGGCAAAGCGAGCGGACAAAACCTCATTGAATTAAGGTCCTTCCTGGAGGCTTCCCTGGTTTCCAGCTTCGGACTTATAGTAACTTTGCGAAGATGAGTACCCATTTGCATGGGACTTCTTTTGATCATTGCCCAGACTTTGAACTTTACTATCTCCAGCTTCCCAAGTTGGTCGGGGGGAGGCACGTTGTTTCCAGCTTCGGGTGGCACCTTGCTAAGCAGCAAGTGGGCTGAGAACAGGTGGACTTGCATGTTGAGTTGGTAGTGGTTACTTGCTGGTAAGAACTATCACCGTTGTAGGGAAAGAGCACACTGTTTACATGAGTCATTGTTATTCTCATGGAATTAGCATGGGAACATCGTGTTTTGTTTGAGTGGCTTGGAAGCCATGCCGGTGGCAATGCATTTGGCTCACACTTGCCTTTTTCAACACTGCCTAGTTAGTTTCAACAAAGCAAGCGGGTTGCCCCAGGGCTTACGGCAGGTTTCAGACGGCTTTAGCCGATAGCTTGCTGCAGAGAGAGGCATGAATTCGGCTGAGCACGGGCTGAGGCTTCCTTTTCCAGTACGGCTGTTGAGCTGTTTCGTGCACAGCAGATTCCTGGATTGGATCCTAGGGGAGGGGAATCGGAATGTTTCTGGCTTCGGTAGGACAGCCTGTTTGCACGTATTGTCAACTTCTTCCCGTTGGGAGGGAATGGGATCTGAAAACTCTTGAGCTATGGTCAGTATTTCACCATCATGTACTGTAGGAAGCGCACACTGCCAATTCACCAACTGTCGATGTCGGCTGTCAATATTGACTGTTGCTCCCTTAGGCAAAACATGGAGCAACCGGACAAGGCGGGCTGGGTGAGTATGGTTTCAAAACCCATAAATGGGTGTCTCTGTCTGCGTCTCTGTCTGTTGTCTTTTTGTCTGAGTCTGTCCCTCTGTCTTAGGTGCGTGGGTGGATGGGCGGGTGGGCGGGCGGGCGGGTGGGTGGGTGCGTGGGTGCGCGGGTGCGTGGGTGCGTGGGTGGTTGCGTGGGTGGGTGGGTGGCGTGGGTGTGTGCGTGCGTGTGTGCGTGCGTGTTTGCATTGGTGGGTGGGTGGGTGGGTGGGCGGGCGGGCGGGTGGGTGGGTGGGCGAGTAATGTTGGACCTTGTTTACTGTGCCCCTTCCTGGACCGGTCAAAACAGTCCTGAAGATCCTGAATACGGATTTGGCGGGGGGCTTGGGTGACTTGAGTATTGCTTTGGTATTGCCACTACACTACTTGGCTTAGTATTGCCAGCACTTCCTGTGGGGTTGCCACTACTTAGTTTAGTATTGCCAGCACTTCCTTTTTGGGCTGCCACTACTTGGTTTAGTATTGCCAGCACTTCCTGGGTTGCCACTAAGACTGGGCAGAAAACATGGTACCCAAACAGTGCCCCTTATATAAAGAGGACCAACCCCCCTTGTGGGCAACCCCCTTTGCAGGACTGTTTGGGGCTTGTTTTTGGCAGGCGGCTCTCTCGGAGCAGTGTAACTGTCATCGAATCTGAGTCTTGGGGTTGGGGAGGGGGGTTGGGGGGGGGGGTGGGGGGAGGCCAATGAATGCGGCGCTTCTCTGTTGCGACCACCTGTGCTTGGGGTGGGGGGTGGGGGGTGGGGGGGGGCGAATGAATGCGGCGCTTCTCTGTTGCGACCACCTGTGCTTGGGGTGGGGGGTGGGGGGTGGGGGGGGGGCGAATGAATGCGGCGCTTCTCTGTTGCGACCACCTGTGCTTGGGGTGGGGGGTGAATGCGGCGCTTCTGTTGCGACCACCTGTGCTTGGGGTGGGGGCAATGAATGCGGCGCTTCTCTGTTGCGACCACCTGTGCTTGGGGTGGGGGGTGGGGGGGGCCAATGAATGCGGCGCTTCCATTTCTGCTGTCATGTGCACCATAGCCGACGGAGCCTCCAGCCTAGGTCATTTCAGCTTCTTCTCGTGTAATCCAAGCGTTCATTTTCGCATTATGTTTATGTGTTCCAACAAGCGGGATTTTGGGCATATTTACTACGTATGTTTTTTCCAGCATCCCACGACGGAGCCTCCAGCCTAGGTCATTTCAGCTTCTCCTCGTGTATTAGGTCAAAAAACAAACTTTTCGGGGACCCCCTTTGCACAGCCCATGTCGCAAGAAGTTTGAGTCAAATGAGGCAAAAACACCGCAAACACCAGTGAATTTGCCTTCTCGCACTTCAAAACACGCAAAATGCTGTCGGTGACAGTTACACGGCTCCCAGAGAGCCGCTTGCCTTGTTTTTGGATGGATTCAATTAAATAATTTTGATGGTTGGGGCTTGGGATCAGGAATTCTTAGGCTCAGGTCTTGGCCTGGTCCCTTGCTAAGCTTTTAGATTTGGAGCCCCTTTTAAAAAGCAAGAGGCTGAGATGTGACCTGGAGATTCCTAACCCACCCACGCCTAAGACTGGAATTAAGCATGGTACCCGCACAGTGCCCCTTAAAGAGGACCAGGCCCCCTTGTGGGCAACCCCCTTTGCAGGACTGTTCGGGGCTTGTTATTGGATGGATTTAAGGAATTTTGATGGTTGGGGCTTGGGATCAAATCAGGAATTCTTAGGCTCAGGTCTTGGCCTGGTCCTGTCCTGAGCTTTTAGATTTGGAGCCCCTTTTGAAAGCAAGAGGCTAAGATGTGACCTGGAGATTCCTAACCCACCCACGCCTAAGACTTGACATTAAACATGGTACCCAAACAGTGCCCCTTAAAGAGGATCAGGCCCCCTTGTGGGCAACCCCCTTTGCAGGACTGTTTGGGGCTTGTTCTTGGATGGATTTAAGTAAAGAATTTTGATGGTTGGGGCTTAGGATTGAATCAGGAATTGTGAGGAATTTGAGCAACCAAAGATTTGCAGAGTTTCACTACTGGGACTGAGCCAGGAAGCTGAGAGGAGAAATCAGTTGTCCATATTGCGAATTTTGAGTCAGATTTGTTTCAACGGGGTTTTTTGGGGTTCGAACTTGACATAAATCATGGTACCGAAACAGTGGGGGGGTCGTGTTTGAGCCGGGGAAACTTGACATAATTCAGACTACCGATACAGAGCAGGCGTATATTTCAGAACCGTTCTGAACGGTTCTGAACCGTTCGTCACTCAAGCTTCCCAGGAACCGTTCTGAACCGTTCAGGAGGGATTGCAGCATCATACTGTGAAGCGTTCTGAGCCGTTCAGGAGGGATTGCAGCAGCATACCCTGAACCGTTCTGAACCGTTCAGGAAGAAATGCAAGCAGCATGCCCTGAACCGTGCTGACCCGTTCAGGAGGGATTGCAGCATCATACCCTGAACCGTTCTGAACCGTTCGGCGACATTGGAGCTGCGTGCCTAGGAACCATTCCGAAGATACGATTGCAACTGCATGCTCAGGAATTGCTCTTGCTTCTGCTCACGCATGCTTAGGCTTACCAACCACGTGTTTAAGACTTAAGATGTTTGGCCTCCTAACATTTCTATGGCTGCTAAGGGTTTAACAGATGCTGATGCTGATGCTGATGCTGATGCTGATGCTGATGCTGCTGATGATGATGATGATGATGATGATGATGATGATGCTGATGCTGATGCTGATGCTGATGGTGGTGGTGTTGGTGGTGGTGGTGTTGGTGGTGGTGGTGATGGCGGAGTTGGTGGAAGTGATGGTGATGATGATGAGGGCGACGACAGCGACGACGACAATGGGGCATCACAACAAATGGCACGAGCTGATCATCGTGTTCTTTTAGCTTGATAGCAACTCGTGTCATTTGCTGGCTCGATTTTGGAGCCACACTTCGTCTTTGGTTCTTTTAGACGGAAATTGTTCGGGAGTTTTCGTGATGGTTTTTTGAGGAAATAACGAGGTGAGCAACGAGGTGATTTAGTAGAACTAACGAGGTCAGCAACGAGGTGATTTAGTGGAAATAAAGGAGTGCTCAGTATTTTGGTGGGGTTCCCTTTGATCTCTTCAAGAAGCAATTACCTGGCCCAACAAGTTGTTTTTAGGACTTCATTTCTTGCCCTTGAAACGATGCCCCGGGCTTGGACAAGCAACTTTCCGAGCCAGAATGAGTCTTCCTTACACCCCATCACTTGTGTTGAAATCCAACTTTCCGAGCGGCTGGAAACACAACTGCTTGAGCCACAAGAATTGCTTTTGATCCTTATCTTCTTCTTGCCAATATGTGCTTTCGTGGATACAAAATCAACTTTTTCAGCCCCGAAAAGTTGTTTTCGGGACTTCAATTCTTTTGCCCTTGGAACGGCCCGGGCTGGATAAACAGCTTTTCGAGCCGGAATGAAACTCGTTGGGTCTTTCCTTACACCCCATGACTTGAATTGAAACCCGAAAAGGCTCGAGACTGAAAAACATTTTTTCGAGCCCCAACAAATTGACTTCGCCTGTTTTGATACACCAAAAAGCTTGCGGCTAGAAATCAACTTTTCAAACCCCGAAACGTTGCTTTTGGAACTTGACTGCTTGACGCTTTTGGAACGCTTCGAAACCCCGGCCAGGCTACGTCCGCGCTGAGGGTTTTTCCTTTCCCTTATGCTGCTTCGTTGTACGGCTAGAGAAGCTAGGTCCTAATTCCAAAGCAGACATTTAGCGAGGCGTGGCGAGACGAGGTGCTAAAACCCAAGCCAGATGTAACGAGGCGAGGCACTAAACCTGAAAAAAGATTTAAGAAACGAGGTGACAAGGTAAGAATTAATACACAACGCCCAGAATTATTTTGGAATTGGGTGGTATGTTCGGAGGACATTTGCGGGACATAAGAGTTTTTTGTTGGGTATTTTAATGGACTGTGATGGGACTTTGTTGGGGTTTTGATGGAATTGTGATGGTATGTTGAGGGAAGCTTGATCAACGTCTGCTGAATTTTGAAGCGAGTTTGAGGGAAGTTGGATGGACATTTGAGGGAAATTTGATGTGAAATTAAGGGAAGTCTAGTTTTGTTTGATGGGAGTTTGCGGGAATTGTGATGGAATTTGGAGGGAAGATGGTGGAATTGCGAGGGAATGTTAAGGGAATTGAGAAGGAATTTCAATTCAGCGGTGAGGCAACTTTGCGGAAACTCTAGAAGAATTGCGGGGAATTTGTTGATATTGACAAAGGGACTACTGCAAAACGAGGGCCGTGCATCTTCTGCAAAAACAGCAACTTAAGCGGTTAGCGCAGAACAACTGAGGTCTGAATGGCCATACGTCCAAAACGCTTGAGGGTTGCTAACGCGAAGCTGGCTTTCACTTAGATGACTGGCGGACTTTTGAAGCTGGGAATTTTGAGTCAAAGCTGCGGGCGCACATACATTGGACAACTGAAAACAACTGAGACAATGTTTTGGTAAACGCGTCAAACGGCTGAGAGCATGCATGGTCAAATGGTAAATGGCCGGCCACTCAGGATACATCTTGACTTCTTATCCCTTATTAATTATTTTAGATCACTCAGTGAGACTGCACTGACACAGCTGCTGCGAGGGGAAAAAACAATAACTATAGCATGAGTGATAAACAGGTTCAATTTATAAATGACTGTGCTGTGATTGAATGGTGGTAATGCATTTGCATAACAAACAGATTCAATGTATGAATGGCTGTGCTATGGTTGAATGGTGCATATTCTTGCATGCTTTGCATGATTGCATGTTGTTGATGTTCTGTTTTTAGCGTGTGTGTGTGTGTGTTGCATGTGTTTTCACATGTTTTGCATTTGTGTCGCATCTGGTTGCATTTGTTCTGCGTTAGCTTTGCTTGTTGTATCTTTGGTTTGTTTGTTTCACCTTTTTGCTTGTTGTATCTTCTCTTTATCTTGTTTTTTACTTATTTCATCTTTTTTGCACTTGGGATGCAAAGATAAGATAGTTTGAGGTCATTTAAGATAGTCTGATATACATTGAGGTAAGGTCTAACCCCTAAATCTGTTACCCATCTTGTTTTACCCATCTTGTTTTTCATGAACAGAGGCACACAGACACAGAGAGAGAGAGAGAGAGACGGAAAGACATGCACACGCACACGGCAACACTCTCACACAGACACATGCACAGACGGGGAGACAAACGGCTACGCACGCGAGAAAGCACGCAACGCACAAACGCAAACAAACACACGCAACGCACAAACGCAAGCGCAACAACATCCCAAAACACCAACAACAACGCACACACACTTACAGACACAAACGCACACACACAGACAAAAGCAAACACACAGACACACACACACACACCCACACACCCACCCACATCCACACCCCCACCCAGACCCGTGCCCACACCCACACGCGCACGCACACGCGCAGGCACACGCACACACACCGGCACAGGCGGGGGCACAGGCACAGGCGCAGGCACACAGACACACAGACACACAGACACACAGACACACAGACACACGGACACACACACAGACAAACAGACAGACACACAGACACACAGACACACAGACAACAGACAACAGACACACACACAAACACACGCGCGAAAGCGTACTCACATGAACAACAAACGCAGGCACGCACGGACATAAACACACGCGCACAAACATACACACAAAAACACACCCAAACACAAACACCCACACAAACATACAAACGCAGATAAAAACACAAGCTCAGACACACAAACACACACACAAACGCAAACATAATTACAAACACACAAATGCACAACAGGACAAGCGCACACACACACAGAATACACACATCCAAACGCTCCAAACGCACAAACACACGCAGACACAAACACGCCCACGAACACACTGGATCAGCTTCTTCTGCTTCTGTGTGTTGCCATGGTTTTGGGTACATGGGTGTGTCCTAAGAAAGGGGGTGCCCGCAAGAATGGTGTTGTTTTTTTCCTTTGAACACCACTCTCAAGAAGAGTGCCCCGAAAAAAGATAATGCGGGTACCTGATTCAAGGGGAAGGTCCAATTGAGCAGCTTTGATGCATATGCATGCAGCAAAAGCAACAAACTACCAAACGAGTACTAAAACGACCAAAATCAACCGACGCAACACTAAGCCAACACTAGACTAGCACAAGCCAATAATCAGCCAGTACTATACTTGGAGGCCGATCTGACCGCTAAATTGTTTCACCGGTTTGGAAGTTCGTCGGCTTTTGCACAAAGGATATGTATTTGCATATTTTCTGGCCTTGTTATCACTCGTGCTGGGCAAGAAGAGAGAGGGAGAGCGGAACTACTTTCTGGCGGGACACTATTTCTAATTTCGATTATTGTGTATTTGGGTGGCCATACCCCCCTTGAAATTTGTCGGCTTCCTGCAGAAATTAGTGAGGGCCTACGAAGGGTCCTCGTTTTTTTTCCAGCGTTGCTGTCGCACCAAACAGCCGTATTCGTAGCGTCGACCAAACATAAATTCACCTGGAGGATGAATATTTAGGGTGTCTTCCTCAGAAGTGAACAATCCCTGCTTATATAGGACACCCCCAACTATTACCTCACAGGTTCAGTTCTTGGACTTTGCCGATTTTGACCTTTGTTGCGAACCATCTTAGTGGCAAACTATATGAACAGACCTTCTGGCCAACACACTCAGGAAGTGTGTCTATGAGTGAACCACGGCTTATTGTTCCAGGGTGCCCAGTATCACACTTTAGGGCCACTCAAGGAAGGCTTGCCTTCGGGCCCGTCGCCTGCCGATAAAACGATCTCACTATGATTCAGGTCCGATCCTCGACTTGGGGATCCATTTCTTCAGTCAGGCATTGATACTCTTAAGAAAAACAAAAAACCGATTGTGTTTTAGTGCCGCTTTTTGTAGTGCCAGGGGAAATCCCATTTAAAATTATGGTTGTCGATGGCCCACTTTGGTATCACAGAACAGGTGATTGTCCGCAACAATGTTGTGATAGGCAGCTGTCAAACCCTTGGTACCACGACCCTCCAAGTCGCGAGGTGACATACAACGGCCTCATCGCCGCCTGCTCCGGACTCAATTGGGAGCCGCAATCGTTGGGGCCATGCGTTCGGCGGGAAAGCCCTGAGTCTGTGGAGGGGTATTCGGGATGTGCTAGAACACTTCAATGGTTCTCAACGGCAGCCCAACAACCAGGGCCTGAAGTTGCTCCCAACCTTAAAAGATGACTTAACCGCAAAGGTAGACAATTGGTTTTGTTTCCTTCGGTCTCGTCGGGCGCCAATTGCTGGCCTCGTGCCAGGGACTTCGGAGCAATCCTGATGACTCACTTGTAGATGTTGCTTTTGTTTCTGTCTCCATGTTTTGTCCCTCGTGCTCGAGAGCGGGGGTTCTGACGTGACAGCAGAGTAGATGTAGGCCTCTTCGAGTTACGGTCTTGGCGACGCTGGAGAATGGTGCTTCTTAATGGTGACCATGACACCGTGTAGATGGTTGTGATTTATGTCCAACAATGAGAAACCTATCCCTTAATCCCTCAAAAACAAAATCCTCTTTGCGGAAACCCCACAATTGTTGATTTGGGAGGGTGCTCCCCATGAAACCGACGCAAATCCGTGGTGCGCCCGTGAAAGTTGCCGCGCTCCTTTTCTGAGGTGCTGCCCCCTCGGGGTTCCGGTGGCAAATGGTGTTGGCATTGCTGGCGCAGATGGGAAGGCGGAAGCGATCTCGGTTCCGATTTCACCGCGCCTTGGTTTGAAGAGAAACCAACATGGCAACCCCCCTTTTTTTGGGTGGCGCTATTTTTTGGGGGTCCTTTTTTTAGATACCCTACTTTGGTCACCCTCCTGCAGGCACTGGATCCCTGTTGTTCAAAGCCAATCCTTCGAATCGGATCGAGTTCTCCATTCTGAGCTACCTCTGAAGTGGTGGGATTTCCCTTGGGTTTTCCCTCCAAGAAGGAAAGGAACAAGGTCCTCTCCAGCCTTGAAGACTTCCTTCTATAACCTAAAAATGGGTGAGCTCCCCAAAAGCTGGTTTGGCTCGAAAAGGGAAACTCCACTCTATATGCATGGATGGAACCTTGCAAAATCGGGAAGCACCCCTCCAGAGCCCTTTGTGCAGATATCCACCAACCCTCAAACGGGAGAACTTGGAACCTCAGCCTGACCGATTTGCTCCGCTCGCTAGGCCCGGGGCGGACGTCCTGGCAGTTGCTGCGGACGCCTGCCTGGCCGCGTGGCAAAGCCGGCGGGCCAGGCGCGGGGCGTTGGGGGGTGGTCCAGCAAGGGCACTGGCTCCGGGTTCGCTCGAAAGAAGGGGCGTGCCTTTAGGTACCTTTTCTTGGTATTTCAAGGGAACCAAAAAGGGAACAACCTTTTGTTTTGGGGGAAGGGGGAGGTACCTTTTTGTGAGGGTACCCCTTGTTGGTATTTACAGGGCAACCAAACGGAAAACACAAATTTGGGGGGTACCCCTATTTTGTGACAAACCAATATCCAGTCTATGGCAACTCAACTGGGGTACTTGGATGTTCAACCAGCAAGGAAGTAGGTTACACAGATTTGTAAGTTGCCGCCTCTTGGAAACTGTTTGTTGGAGGAAGCGTCATTGAAATGAACTATAACAACTCCCAACAGAAGTGTTTTTTTTTCCAGGGTCTGTCTTTTTTTTTCCCATTGTTATAACTGGAGAAACTGCGGGCAGTACCCGTATAGCTATGCACACAGCCTACTTACTAAGTAGCTTGAACATGTGTACATGTGTCAATATGGACCAGAAGCGGAGTGTGGCGATTGTTCTTCTCAAATGGGTCAAATGTGTTATTGTTCACGCTTTGTCTCATGATCTCTCTTCCTTTTATGGGTTGTGTGAAAAGGACGCAACCCCTAAACTGTTTGTTCCAATGACCACTGGCAACTCACTATGCTTCATGACGTTCTCGCGAGACATCTTCCCCTCGGCACTTTTACGCACGTCACAACCGGCTATGCTTGTTGGATACCCTGATTTGTGGTACCACTTGATGTTTTTCAGGAGACACCTTCGCAGCAGACAAGTATGGTGTCTGGAAAGTAAGGGACACCCCAAATTGGTAAGGCTTGGAACCCTCAAGACACCACCCACATGTGCCATGGTCAAAGCTTTCCTTCTTTGGTATTGGGGAAGGTCATAAACCTCTCATGATGGTTCCCTTTGACAACCCCGAAGTTGATGCCCGCAAAAGGACACACCTATATAGTTTCATCTGCGTTGAACCAGAAGTTCGCGGATGCCGCAGTTTCCGCTGGTTGCCAGCCGGCAGAATACTGTGCAGGTTGCTTATGGACACCTTGGAGGAGTCTTGCTCGCAGGGCGCCCGGTTGGACTTGTCATGGGGGACCATCTCTGGCAGGTGTTGCCACACAAGGAACTGGGTGGTGGATAATCCACACCTCGCTGAGATCTCTTTTGATCTTAGTTTGCTTCTGATTGTGGCTAAGAGTCAGACATCTGTTGTTAAGGGGGCAAAAGCTGAGATAGGTTTGGGTTGGCAAACAAAGCCTTCCAACATGCAAATCATAATGCACTCTTTAGTGCACTCGCTCTCTCTCTCGCTCTCCCTCTCTCGCTCTCTCTCTCTCTCTCTCTCTCTCTCTCTCTCTCTCTCTCTCTCTCTCTCTCTTTTTCTCCGCATAATCCGGTCGCTGGTCCCCCAAATATGAAATGTTTGAATACTATTTGGGAAGTTCAGAGTTCGGTTGTCGTCAATCAACCGTTCCGTCCAATTTAGGGGCTCCCTTTCCGAGCCGCTTGGCTCGCACAAGTTGCATTGCCCACAGTGCTGTGCGGAAGGCGTTAAGCTGAGGGAGTAACTCAAGCAAGCTTAGACCTGTGTTGTCACCACGGTTCACTGAGAGGGCCACGGAGATAAGACGAGATCGAGCCAGTTCTTCATAGGGTTGCCCAGCCTCTAAAAGATGACCAAACCCCAAGGATAGAACATGTGCTGGGTTCGTATTATTTCAGAAGCAAGCAACATACCATTTATCTTTGCGTGCACCATGCACAACCCCAGACCTTCAACGTGCTCGATGGTGCTAGCTTGGAGGCCGACGGATGTTGTAGTGCACATGTTATACTGATCAGCTTGTGTTCGCATGCTCTTGCGGGACATGAGCCACGGACAATGTTCGCAGGGTGTCAGGGTGTCAGCTTGAGCCCCTGATCGGTTTCTAGCAGCCAGAGGATTGATTTCCATACAATGGGCATGTCTCTTGTTCAGGGTAACCCTCTATGTTTATTGACGTGCAACTACCAACCTCCTCCCCATTACTTCATGTAGGGTGCCCCTATCGTGTATGTTATGAGTGTTTTTGTTGTTTGTTTTGTTTGGTCCGGGGGTCTATCTCCCATGGGTGTCCTTCGCCACATAAAGCATCTCTGTCACTGCAGTGATTAGCAGGCTTAGCTTACCCTGTTTTGACGGTTTGCCTTGTTGGTTTTCCTCATTCTCTGTCGGAAAGCAAACAGTTAACTTGTTGCAGGCGGTCTACTTTTGGCCAGGCAAAGTCGGGGATGAGAAGGCACTCTTTGTCATGACTTGATTCGTTTCCCTTGACCCAAAACTTGTCACCCACGCCCAACAACAGCGTTAATTATCAACTGTTACAGATCAGCCTAGCCCACTGTTGTGCAACATCTTGTGAGATATCTCACCCACCCCTTCCACATGTTAACATGCTGAAGTGATATGTGATTTTTGTTGAAGCTGCAAGGCTGCAACGTTGATTGCTTGATTCAAAGTCATGGGATACATGTTCGTCCCATGTTGACTCTAGCTATGGTCAAAGTCAAGGTATGAATGGATCTCCCAAAAATACAAGCAGGTGAGCAATAGCTGCGATGAAATACCGCGAGCCCTTTCTGGGCACTCTTGACTGAGGTCAGAGATTCAGAGCGTGGCGAGTCAAAACAGAGCGCTGCACGGTTTAGGTCTGGATGAGGTTGACCTCACTTGACGTTCGATGTTGGCCAAGCTTTTGAGTCACGCACAGTTTGCGGCCCAACATCCTCATAAGCCATTGCGTCTGTATCATTTTCGCACCCATGTTGTAAAGTGGCCAAACCGTCAGGTTTCGGCCCTCTGAAGTCCCCCCCTCTTGACATGAAACTTCTGTTGGGATTGTTGGGGTTTTTCAAAAGGAGGCTCCTTTAGATGCACTCCCATTTGTTTGTTGTGTCTTTAGGGCCAATCACTTGGACCTCGTACCCACCAAAATTGTTCTTAAAACCTTCTAAGCAGGACATGGATTTCTGCCATCCATCTTGCTGGCTTGACTCATTGAGCTGGTTTGCACCGCACTGATTGCTGCTGATACCTTTCTCTCCCAGCGCCAGGAAAGCCGCGTTTTGGCATCCACCAAGAGCCAGGAAAGCCAATGACATCTCAGGCTTCCTGTCTTTCATGATGGTGCAAATAGAGGAACCAAGCACTGGCGAAGGCAGTGTGACCTCGGTCCAACAAGTCATTAGCAAGCCTCGACTTCAAGCAAGTGGCCCGCTCCCGCAAGAGGCCCGCAAACATGTTTTGTCCCCGACCCACTCATTTCAGGGTTTGTCTCTGGCCCCCCAAAAAAACGCCGTTTTCCGTGTGGACTCCTTTTAGAACCCACCCAAACCCGCGAGTTCCGGAGCGCGGCCGGCCGTCACGGGGCCGCCGGGGTCGGAGATCCATCGATCGCGGTGGATTTCCGATGCTCCGATGGCGCGGGCTCCGACGCCCAGCCGCTTTCAGGCGGGGAGCGGGGGCAAGCTGGTCACATCCCGCGACAATCCGCACGAACTAGTTGTATAGTATCTTATTCACATTTACAATATATATATATATATATTATCTATATTTACATATATATATATATATATTTGTTCAGAGCTCTTGAAATAGAACAAGAGATATGGCTATAGACCAGTTCTAAGCGAATTGATTTCACGACGGCACCCAGTGCAGTTGTATTTGGGGGGTCTTCCAGACAAGTTTGATTTCAATCGTAGAACAAAGCCAAGAAATGCCTTGAGCTATGCCATCTAAGCTTAGCAAGAAAGTTGGGTTGGGTTGTTTGCCTGGTCAAGAGGAGACAGTTTGGACGTGTCCCAGCGGAAACCACTTTGAGCCCATGGCTCCGAGGGGGCGTATCTGTTATTTGGGAGGAGTGACTAGTTACCGAAACCTCTGCAGAGAATTAGTAAACATGTTGTTTTTTGTATTCGCACACGTAGCTTTGAAGATTTCTGGTTCTGAGCCCAGTCAAGCGTCGGTCCTTTCGAACCGTGTCTTCGAAAGGGAGCAATTTGAGGGCCCCGTCCGGCCCCATGTCCAGTTTGCGGGTGCCCTGCTTTGGGAAGCACATCCACTCACCAGGTTTGGCAGGATACAGAACATCCAAAGAACACCAGGCTTTGTGAGAGGATGCAGTGAAACTGCTGGTGAAGTCAAGTTGTTGGCTCACATGTCAATTCTTCAAGAGATCCTGTCAACTTCTCGTTGCCAGCCTCGATCCGAGGCGGTTCGTGCCAAGCTCAACAGTCTGAGCTATGTGCAGCCGCTTACTGAGGCGCCGTGCTCGGAGACGGGGTTTCCGCGCCCGTGTTGGGTTTCGAAACCCACTAAAGTCACTAGACAACTCGCGCGAGTTGCTGGATGTTGGTCAGGCGAAGCTCGGGGGGAGGTCCGTTGGCACTTAAAGATGTTGAGGGGAGGTGTCAAAGTAATCCTACCAAGCGCCAAGTTGGGCATGCGCTTCTTTGAAAGCCCGTTTTTGGGGTGATACCGGGAAACCGAACGAAAAACTGCCAGTTTCATCCGACAAACCCACCCGATTCGCCAGGAGTCGCTGGCACTGGTCGAGCGCTTACTCGAAGACCTGCTGAAGTCCGCCGAGTGCGGTCGCCCAAGTCCGCCAGCAATGGTCCGCCACGACCTCCAGCGGGCGGCGGTTTTTCAACTGGAGCGCAAATGGACCAAACAGAGAGTGCCCCTGTTTTCCAACGTGGCGGTTTTGGGGGTGTGGGTCATTGTTTGAACTGTTTCTGGAGGTTGTGAAAACCAGCAACTGGGGTTGTTTTCTTTTAACTTACCACTGGGGGTGACTTTGATGATGGTCAAATAATGATGGTCAAACTGGGGGAGATACTTGCAGCAGAGCATCTTTACATTGGATGTCCTTTCCCGCTCAAGCTAGGAAGTTTGTGAACACTGGCGGCCAATGCAGAGATGACATAGCTTTCCTTTGAACTTAATCTTGAGCCTTTTCTGGGACGGTGGCGCAGAGGGGCCAATCTTTCATGACATAACCCTTCAGGCAAATTGTAAGTAAGTGCTTTGTTGTTGTAGGAAACATTTCGCTAACTTCTGAATCCCATTGGTGTTTTTGAAGTCTGACCAGTGATGGAGCAATTGAATTCATGACATTATTGCACACAACACATGCCACGTTTTGGGCTGTGAAACGATTCATCATAGGCTGAAGAAAACAAATGGGTCTGGGTAAATCACAAAACTCGCCAGCCTAAACTAGTACATTTCGATGCGTCACACTAGGGCCCCCAACGAAGGAAGCCTTCATGGGTGAATTCGGTCGCAAGCAAAATCCCTTTGTCAGTGAGGTGTGGTCAAAACCAAATGGATGATTCATCATATGACCGCAACTGAGAGTGTGAAGCGTTCAGGCAGTTTCCCTCTCACCCTAGTGCCACTGGGGTATGAGTCCAAATAGGGCAGCACCTAAAAATGGCGCACCTCCTTGTACTTAATACCACCGATAGGGCCAGTTGTCAGGATCCAAGACTAAACAGTTCTAGACCCTGACGCGGGCCTCCAGGACCACCGCTAATTCGTACGGCGCTTTCGCCAAACCCATTTTCCCGCACAACTTATCAATTTATCTCCATTTCGGCCCAATTAAACTTTATCAAAACTTCCTGATGCGTTTTTAATCCCGCAGAGCGGCCACCTGCAATACCTTCTCCCGCAGACCACCTTCTCCCCCATACCCCGTTTAATCCGAGGTTTGACCTTCTCGGGGGGAGGGGGGAGGAAGGATGTGTTGCTGCCACGTTAAGATTGCCCTCCAAACAATTCACACACACACCATGGAATTGAAAGTTGGTCTGGTGTTGAACAGAGCGCACAAGGAAGTACCAAGGGGCGGGTCTGCACCTTACACAACGCCGCTGCCATTCGTGGACATAAGTTTCATGAGACTGTGTTTAACTGGAACACTTTACTTTGCATGGGTACATTTCAGGATTTGTTTAATGACCGCCACAAACAAAACAAAACAACAAAAACACAGTCCCAACATTGGGTCCAGCAGCGCCTCGCTCGCTTCGTTTTTTCTTTGCGCCGAGCTGCGCTCCAAATCGGCTAAGGTCCTTCCGGCTGCTGGAACAAACTTCAGGGCGCCATGAGCAGCAGATGCAGGATATACCTACAGAACATGTGCAACAACAAGCTTCTTAAAATATATATATATATATACATGTAATATGTGCTCACTTTCTCTGTCTTTAAACTAAGTGGTGTTGCATAGTTTGTATGTAGAAATCTCACCAGCTCCAGCAACTTGTGCCTTGGATACCTCTCAGGTGCATACCTGGCTTGGTGCCCTTGAAACTGGATCTAACATCCACATGCCCCGCGTGCGATGCCGCTTACTATGGACACCGTCTCGAAACTCGGTGCCTGGCTTCGCTTCCAACCTTTCGCCTTTTTTGGTTTTGCGTCATCTTCACTTTCAAGCAAACAGCTTTGGCTCTTTGCAGGTGCACGGTTGGCCCTGTCCTTTGCCCGCGCAGGACGTGACTGAGGAGCTGAAGCGGCTCCACGAGGAACATCCGCAGTTGCTCAAGGAGAACATCGAGCTGCACAGGCGCCGTTCCTCCAACATGTTTGTTTTGCTTCTGGGCTGGCTACAGATGGGAGAGTGAGAGAGTGTATGTGCTGAAGGTGCCCCCTTTTTGTGTGTTTTGAAGGGAATCGACAGGCAACGGACCATGTTTGGGGAGTCCAAAATCCCAAAACAGACACACCCATGTGTGCCATGGTCAAAGACCAGTTCCTTTGCTTGAGTTAACAGGGATGGTCATCCACATGGAGATCCAAAGTAAAACCATTATAATTGCACAAACTTGACGATGGAAGCCGTTTTTGCCTAAGGAAAAACCCGCTGATTAGTAATACTTATTCCTGTTGAGGGAACCACATGAAACAGGGGCTTGAATCATATGAGACAGGAGTTGGTAGGGTCCCTGACTGGCTTGCGTGGTTCCGACCCCCGCGCTGAACTGAGGGCGGTTCACGTCGCAACATGAATGTAAAGTGCCCCCACACGCCATGTTTAATTGTAAACGCTTCGCGTTGCCCGCCTCGGCCCAGCCTAGTTTGAGGGAAGGGTCAGGAACACCGAAATCCAGTGTTGGGAAGGTCCGAATCCTACTGAAAGCTTGTGACCGCACCAGTTCGCCCGTGCTAGTTCGATGTTCGGAAGCCGTCCTGCTCGGAAGGGAAATCCAAAACCAAGACTATCTCAGCTGCTCAGTGCCCTTGGAAAGAAAAGGACCTCTTTCTGGGGATGAGCATTTTTAGTGGGGCTTGGCCTCCATAAAAAGGGGAACAATAATTGGTGTCACTGAACAACCAAGACCAACTTTGGGTGTTTGGGCACCTCCATTTCACGTGGCTGGCGGCTTGCCATGACATACATTTCTTGCTCGGTTGCTCAGCCCAAGACAGATACATGGTGGGAATACAAACCTGCTTTTGCTTAAGTACCCCGGAAAAATATCCAAGAGACACGCCAGCAGGCGGGCTGAGGGACTGGGCCTGAGGCTAGTCTCAGGCTGGCATACCTTGAGACGCCGAAGGGGCTGGGCCTGCTGGATGACTTGGGGCCGGGGGGCTGGGGCACGTCAGACAGGCTTGGAGCTGGCGTAGCTTGAGACCAGTCTCAGACACGTGAGACTGGTCGCTGGCCTGAGGCCAGTCTCACGCTGGGAGCTGGGGGCCGGCCTAGTGGCTGGCATGCTGGGCTGAGGTGGGTTGGTGGTTGGGCTGGGCCTGAAGCTAGTCTCAGCCACGAGGCTGCGAAGCCATGGGTTGCTGGCTGCCGGGCAGCCGGACTACGCTGCTGGTTGCGCCTGGAACTTGGGCTGGGCGGGCTGGGCTGAGCTGTGCTTGGGCGGGTTGCTGGATGGGCAAGGCCTGTTTCATACACACTTGGGCCTGAGGCTGGGTGGCGAGGATGACTTGTGGCCAGACGCGAGCAGGAGGTCAAGGCCTGGCCAGCCTGGGCTGAGCTGCTTGGGCAGCCGGACTGAGGGGCTGGGGCACGTCAGACAGGCTTAGTAGCTGGCATGCGCCGGGGAGGGTGGGTTGCTGGTTTCATACACACTTGGGCCTGAGGCTGGGTGGCGAGTTGCTGGCTGGGCTGGGCCTGAGGCCAGTCGCAGACACGTAAGACATGCCAGCAGTCGGCCTGAGGGACTGGGCCTGAGGCTAGTCTCAGGCTGGCATACTTTGAGACCAGTGTCAGACTGCCAAGGGGCTGGGCCTGCTGGATGAGTTGGGGCCAGACGCAAGCAGGAGGTCGGCCTGGGCTGAGCTGCGTAGACTGAGGGGCTGGGGCACGTCAGACAGGCTTGAGTTGGCCTGAGACCAGTCTCAGACACGTTGCACGCTGGGCTGAGTCTGCTGATTGGCTGGGAGCTGGGGGCCGGCCTAGGCCTGGGCTGGGGGGCCGCAGGCCTGTTTCAGATGCTGGGTGGGCTGGGCTGACAGGCCTGGGTTGCTGCTGGGCCTGAGCCTAGTCTCAGACACGTCAGACAGGCCTGGCCAGCAAAAAATCATGCTTTTCATTTTTAAGGCCCGCTGGACAGGATTTTGGGCCAGCCGACATGGGGGGGGGGGTGGGGGGGGGGCGGCCCGGCAAAATTTTGGTTGGGGGGTTGGGGGAGGGGAAAAGCGAAGATTCTCTTTGGAGAAGAGATCTGAGCGCCCTTGGCCCCTTTGGGGCCGAGGCGAATTATGTTGGCCCACATAGTAACATGTTTGGTGCTATTGAAGCCTTCACATTTTATCATAGATAGAGCTGCTCCTCAGACCGAACATGCTGTCCTTCGTTTATGTGTTTGTTTTTTTCAAGCGGGTATGTTTGGGGGTGTGGTGCTTTCGGTCGTCTGAACCCACAAGACAAGCGTAGATTGAGGAGACTGTTGCAGGCACCCAGTTGTCCATTAGGTGCATGTGTCAGGCACGCATATGTCAGTTTCTGCATGTGTCAGTACACGATGTGCACAACCCTGAACGACTTTCAAATGTTTGGTAGCTTTTCCCGATTTTAAAGCACTCCCCAACAGGTCGCCAGTCTTGCACAAGAGTGCGATAAATCTATGATTGCTACAGGATTATTCTTTCTGGGAACACCTCTTTTGCTGCAGGGGCGTAATACCAGTAGAGCCGGCGAAGCCGGTGGGCGGAAGTTTCAAAATAGAAAAACTATAGTTATCTTTCTCTTTCTTTTCTTGATTCTTTTTCTCCGTCATTCTTCCTTTCTTCCTTTCTTTCCTTCCTGCCTTCTTTCCTTCTTTCTATCTGTCTTTTCTTTCTTTCTTTCGTTTGCTTGTCTATCTATATTTCTCTACCTATCTATCTACCTAACTACCTATCTATCTCTCGTGTTATCTATCTATCTGCTTATCGATCTATCTCTCTATCTCTATATCTCTCTATCTCTCTATCTATCCATCTCTCTATATCCATCTCTCTCTCTCTCTCTATCTATCTATCTATCTATTTACCTCTGTATCTATTCATCTATCTATCTATCTATCTATCTATTTATCTATCTATCTATCTATCTATTTCTCTATCCATCTACCTATCTATCTTTCTATCTATCTATATCTCTATCTCTCTTTCTACCGATATATCTATCTATCTGTCTATCTATCTCTGCCTCTATCTATTTATCCATCTATCCATTTATCTATCCTATCTATCTATCTATCTATCTATCTGTCTATCTATCTATCTATCTATCTATATTTATCTATCTATCTATCTATCTATCTATCCATCTATCTATTTCTCTATCTACCTCTCTATCTATCTCTCTCTCTCTATCTCTGTTTGTATCTATTTATCTATCTGTCTATCTATCTATCTGTCTGTCTATCTTTCTATCTATCTATGTGTTTGTAGATTGTTTATCTATCTATTTATATCTATCTCTCTATCTATCTATCTATCAATCTATCTGTCTATCTGTCTATCTATCTATCTATCTATCTATCTATCTAATCTATCTATCTATCTATCGATCGATCGATCTATCTATCTATCTATCCATCTATATCTGCACTTAAAAGTTGCGATTTTCAATCCCTGAAAGTGGACTTCACGTACTACTTTCAAAGTAACTTAAAAGTTGCGATTTTCGAGCCCCAGCTGCGAAAGTTGACTTCGCGTACTACTTTCGTACTTAAAAGTTGCGATTTTCAAGCCCCAGCTGCGAAAGTTGACTTTGCATACTACTTTCGCACTTAAAAGTTGCGATTTTCGAGCCCCAGCTGCGAAAGTTGACTTTGCGTACTACTTTCGCACTTAACAGTTGCGATTTTCGAGCCCCGGCTGCAAAAGTTGACCTTGCAAAAGTGCTGCGCCTGCCACGAAATCTGCACTTGACCTTGCGAAAGTGCTGCGCCTGCCACGAAATCTGTACTTGACCTTGCGAAAGAGCTGCACCTGCCACGAATTCTGCACTTGACCTTGTGAAAGGGCTGTGCCTGCCACGAAATCTGTGCTTGTCCTTGCGAAAGTGCTGCGCCTGCCACAAAATATTTACTTGACCTTGCGAAAGTGCTGCGCCTGCCACGAAATCTGCACTTGACCTTGCGAAAGTGCTGCGCCTGCCACGAAATCTGTACTTGACCTTGCGAAAGTGCTGCGCCTGCCACGACATCTGTACTTGACCTTGCGAAAGTGATGCGCCTGCCACGAATTTTGCACTTGACCTTGCGAAAGTGCTGCACCTGCCACGAATTCTGCACTTCACCTTGTGAAAGTGCTGCGCCTGCCACGAAATCTGTGCTTGTCCTTGCGAAAGTGCTGCGCCTGCCAGGAAATCTGCACTTAACCTTGCGAAAGTGATGCGCCTGCCACGAATTTTGCACTTGACCTTGCGAAACTGCTGCACCTGCCACGAATTCTGCACTTGACCTTGTGAAAGTGCTGCGCCTGCCACGAAATCTGTGCTTGTCCTTGCGAAAGTGCTGCGCCTGCCACGACATATTTACTTGACCTTGCGAAAGTGCTGCGCCTGCCACGAAATCTGTACTTGACCTTGCGAAAGTATTGCGCGTGCCACGAACTCTGCACCTGACCTTTCGAAAGTGCTGCGCCTGCCACGCAATTCAAGCCTTGGGAAACTTGACCTTGTGAAAGTGCTGCGCCTGCCACGAAATCTGTACTTGACCTTGCGAAAGTGTTGCGCCTGCCACGCAGTTCAATCCTTGCGAAACCTCCGCGTTGCCGTGCCAATGGGCCCGCGCTCCGAGCATGGTCCGAACGCGCTCCGAACGCGCTCTGAGAGCGAAACCTTCGCGTTGCCGTGCGAACGGGCCCGCGCTGCGAACGTGATCCGAGAATGGTCCGAGAATGGTCCGACAATGGTCCGACAATGGTCCGACCAGGCGCCGCGAACAGGCTAGCTTTCAGCTCTCCGGACATGCAAATTCACGCACAGGGCCACGCTTTTGGCGCACTTCTATTCTGCCACCGCACGCACGCGCATCTTTTCTCGTGCGCTTATTCCTTCTCTTGTCATCTGTCTCAGGGAGAGCTAGCTTTCAATTAGTTGCCGTAACACGGAAGTTCCTTCTAAACTTCCTTTGACCACTGGCACAGATTCCGAATCTTCCCGAGTCATGGTCACACACGCTTACCGGGGGCTTCTTACTGCAGCCACGGGGCAGGATACAACCCCTCCCCAAACAACCCAACCCCCTGTTTCCTCAAATAAGACCTGATTTCTTGCAAGGACCCCAGGAGGTTTTGGGGAGTGGGGGGGTTTGCGATCCTGTGGTCTTTTTCCTTTCGGTGTCCTTTTCAGAAAAGCAGAGCCCCCAACCACCCCCACCCCCTGCGGTTTCCTTTTTACTAGAGCCCCATCTCGAGCGATTCTTCGGCACTCACCTTGGTGAGGCGGCTGCTGCAGGAAAGTCCGGACCTCGATTTGCGGTCACATCTGGTTCCTGGGTGCCAGGGAGGGTCCGGCTGAAATAGTGAATGTGTTTGCTTGCTTGCCTGCTTGCTTTCTCGCTGGCACCTTTGTTTTTTTGCTTGCTGCTTTGCTTGTGTGCATGCCAAATCTTGCTTTCTTGTGTTTGTTTGTGTTTGTTTGTGTTTGTTTGTTTGTGTGTTTGTCTGACTGTCTGTCTGACTGCCTGCCTGCCTGCCTGCTCGCCTGGTTGGCTGGCTGGCTGGGTGGGTTGCTTTGTTATTGATTGGTTGTTTGTTGTTGTTTGTTGTCTGGTTATTTGGGTCTTGATTTGCTCGTTTACTGGCATGCATGAGAACTCACCTGCGTGAGCCAGTCCCGGTACTGGAAATGCTGGGAACAGTCTCAGCGTCATGAAATTTGGTGCAAATCGTGCAACCGAAGTCACCTTAGGGCCCTTGTACAGGACTCTCCCAAGGCTGCCATTGGCCCTACGGTTGGCAATGGAAAGGGTTCCCTGTCAATTGCCATCCTGGAGACGTTCAAAGCACTCAAATCGCGTACATTCGCACCTCCAATGTGAATGTTGTGAATTTGTGCCCCTGTTTGAGGGCCCTGTTCCAGTACATGTTCAGTCCCTCCTCAATATTGCATGGGTACTCCTTTGCCAGTTGAGACCGTCAATGTCCAGTCCGTTTGGAGCAAACAGGAGAATAAGCATGCGGGCCTATCAGGCATGGCTTTTTGTGGATGCAACATGCCGACTGCATTGCTCGGCGGCAGACGGAAACTATCTGACAGTTTGACAGGTAGCTGTTGATGAGCATGGATGAACTTTGACATGTTTGAAAGGTGCCCAATATCAGTCGATCCCATTTCAGAAGGCGAGCTTGGCCTTTCTGCAGCCGCCGAGGGCTTGATTGTTGGTGTCCGTCTTTGAGCCTGAGCTTCTTTTTCGTGCCCAGGTTGCTCCAAATCGCACCACAGACTGTCCGGTATGTCGCTTTCAGTTGGCATCGCACCAAGTCTCTGGCAGACTGGCGCGATGGTATGCTGAGAATGACAGGGCATGAGGTTGATGATGGAGCTGAGAGTGGTACATGCGCTAGACAGGATTTCGTGCCCATGGTGGCACATGGCGTGCTCTTTTGTGTCAGCAGTGAAGCATCCAGGGCTGAATGGAGCGCTGTGTGACCAGTTCGTAATACGAGCAGTGGGCGATCTTGTTTGTCGGCTTGCGGAGTTTTGCGAGCGGAGATTCTGAAGAGAGGCGAGTATGAAGGGGTTCATTTATGTTCACTTGCATGGCCGAAGTACATCAACAACTTGCGATAGGGACTATCACACTGAGGTTAGTTAAGTGTTTCTGCTGCATGCGGCAGTACTGCCAACAGGACTTATGGACGACAGTGGACGGACACGAAGCCCCGGCTTGGGTGACGAAATATGCTTGCATCCAAGCTCAGGATTCGAGCCTGAGTGGTGTCCGTCTTTGAGCCTGAGCTTCTTTTTCGTGCCCAGGTTGCTCCAAATCGCACCACAGACTGTCCGGTATGTCGCTTTCAGTTGGCATCGCACCAAGTCTCTGGCAGACTGGCGCGATGGTATGCTGAGAATGACAGGGCATGAGGTTGATGATGGAGCTGAGAGTGGTACATGCGCTAGACAGGATTTCGTGCCCATGGTGGCACATGGCGTGCTCTTTTGTGTCAGCAGTGAAGCATCCAGGGCTGAATGGAGCGCTGTGTGACCAGTTCGTAATACGAGCAGTGGGCGATCTTGTTTGTCGGCTTGCGGAGTTTTGCGAGCGGAGATTCTGAAGAGAGGCGAGTATGAAGGGGTTCATTTATGTTCACTTGCATGGCCGAAGTACATCAACAACTTGCGATAGGGACTATCACACTGAGGTTAGTTAAGTGTTTCTGCTGCATGCGGCAGTACTGCCAACAGGACTTATGGACGACAGTGGACGGACACGAAGCCCCGGCTTGGGTGACGAAACATGCTTGCATCCAAGCTCAGGATTCGAGATCTTGAGGCTTGAACAGTGCCAAGAAGCATGCTGAATGCTGGCCTGAGTGGTGTCCGTCTTTGAGCCTGAGCTTCTTTCGTGCCCAGGTTGCTTCAAATCGCACCACAGACTGTCCGGTATGTCGCTTTCAGTTGGCATCGCACCAAGTCTCTGGCAGACTGGCGCGATGGTATGCTGGGAATGACAGGGCATGAGGTTGATGATGGAGCTGAGAGTGGTACATGCGCTGGCCAGCATTTCGTGCCATGGTGGCACATGGCGTGCTCTTGCGTGTCAGCAGTGAAGCCTCCAGGGCTGAATGGAGCGCTGTGTGACCAGTTCGTAATACGAGCAGTGGGCGATCTCGTTTGTCGGCTTGCGGAGTTTTGCGAGCGCAGATTCTGAAGAGAGGCGGTTTGAAGGGGGTTCATTTATGTTCACTTGCATGGCCGAAGTACATCAACAACTTGCGATAGGGACTATCACACTGAGGTTAGTTCATTGTTTCTGCTGCATGCGGCAGTACTGCCAACAGGACTTATGGACGACAGTGGACGGACACGAAGCCCCGGCTTGGGTGACGAAACATGTTTGCATCCAAGCTCAGGATTCGAGCCTGAGTGGTGTCCGTCTTTGAGCCTGAGCTTCTTTCGTGCCCAGGTTGCTTCAAATCGCACCACAGACTGTCCGGTATGTCGCTTTCAGTTGGCATCGCACCAAGTCTCTGGCAGACTGGCGCGATGGTATGCTGGGAATGACAGGGCATGAGGTTGATGATGGAGCTGAGAGTGGTACATGCACTGGCCAGCATTTCGTGCCCATGGTGGCACATGGCGTGCTCTTTCGTGTCAGCAGTGAAGCCTCCAGGGCTGAATGGAGCGCTGTGTGACCAGTTCGTAATACGAGCAGTGGGCGATCTCGTTTGTCGGCTTGCGGAGTTTTGCGAGCGGAGATTCTGAAGAGAGGCGGTTTGAAGGGGGTTCATTTATGTTCACTTGCATGGCCGAAGTACATCTACTTGCGATAGAGACTATCACACTGAGGTTAGTTCATTGTTTCTGCTGTATGCGGCAGTACTACCAACAGGACTTGTGGACGACACAGTGGACGGACACGAAGCCCCGGCTTGGGTGACGAAACATGCTTGCATCCAAGCTCAGGATTCGAGATCTTGAGGCTTGAACAGTGCCAAGAAGCATGCTGAATGCTGGCCTGAGTGGTGTCCGTCTTTGAGCCTGAGCTTCTTTCGTGCCCAGGTTGCTTCAAATCGCACCACAGACTGTCCGGTATGTCGCTTTCAGTTGGCATCGCACCAAGTCTCTGGCAGACTGGCGCGATGGTATGCTGGGAATGACAGGGCATGAGGTTGATGATGGAGCTGAGAGTGGTACATGCACTGGCCATGGTGATTTTTAGAGAAAATCCAGCGTCTTGGGAAAGTCACCCACCTTCTTGGGGCTCGATGTCAATTTGGGGATTGCCCTATTCCTACTCTAAATACTCAGGCTAACATTGTACCCAAGAATCAATATGTGTGGGGGAATCCCCTTTGTCTGAAATGTGGCCGGGGACCCAACAGTCAAGTTGTTCGGCCCTTTAGACCCCCAAAAAGGGGGCAATTATTAAATTGCCCTCAAAAACAAAAAGCAAAACTCATTGGTGAATCCTAATTTGGCTGTGGGTCAAAACCAATGGTAGCATTTTGGGGTAGGTGCACCACCCATTTTAGTCTTTTTTAGTGGGGATTGGGATGTTCACTGGGGGTACGATTTGGATTTTGACCCATGGCCATTTCCCATCACGGTCCACCTTAGCCCTTCCTCCCCCCCCCCCCCTGACCCGTCGACCTCGGGGGCTTGGGTGAGGCGCCCAGCGCGCGGAGCGGCGCCAGCGGTGGCAGGCGCAGCACTCCGCGGCCACGGAGGAGTTGCAGCAGATGCCCTGGGCCCCGGATGGGATGCGAGTCACCTCCACTGGTCGATGGGCCAGGGATTGGAGACTTATATATATATATACATATATGTCGTATGTATAATATATATATATATATTATGTATATATTCCTGACAAGAAAGATGATCAGAGAAAAGGTTTGAATCCTGAATTTTCTTGAACCTTGACAAAGTTGATGAGAATTCCGCTTGGAGGTTCATTCAAGCTTTCTATGTGTTTGCCTCATTCTCCGGCTGGCCCGCTGGTTTTTCGAAATTACCTAAAATTATCATGGATCTTTGGGCTTGCCGAATGTGAAGCAGAACCTGAAGCTATGTTGCTTGGTATCCACCCCAAATTAGGCCAAGGTTGGTTTCCTAGTTCCCTACTTGCAATGTTTAGGAATCGAGATAAGGAACAAACTCACCCGATCATGATGAAGCTGCTGAGTTGCCATTTTTTTGTGTGTGGATCCAGCAGATGGCCCGTCCGCTGACACCTGGGACCAAGAGTTGTCCTTTTCCCATTGTCCCAAAGGCGTTGAAATGAGGCATGCTCTGAGTTGACAGGTATTGGTCGGATTGATTTGGGGATGCTCTGGATTGGAAGGCCTGGAATTGTGGCACTGCACCGGCAACCAACTTTTCTGGCATTTGGGCAATTGGTTGTAGCAAGCCAACGTAAGTTTCCGGGGTAGAATGTGTTCACCCATGAAAAGCAAACCCCTCCAGGGTGTGGTTTACCCAAAGACAATGATCGTTAAACAGCAACAACACGCTGGTTAAAATATACTCTCACATCCCTCACTGGATTCTTAGGGGCATAGTCATTGTTGGAGGAAGCTGCGAGAATTGAACAGCATGAGAATGTTTGTTTTTTTCCTCATGGGGACATCCCTCGACTGGCGATGCAAGGAATGCACAGCAATTCACAGGGAACCGTTAAAGCAGCCTAAATTCCGGAAGCCAAGAAAGGCTGGTGCTTGCCATAGAAATGTAAGCAAACCAACAGTCCCACCATGCGGAGGGCCTTAATGTTTGCCCATTGGTATTTTGAGGGCCGCAGTGGGTGGGTGGTTGTTGTAGGTGATGTCGGGTAGGCTGTTGCCGGGATCGCGAATTTGGGAGAGTGAACATTTGGCATTTTTCAGACACCAGGACTTGCTTGTAGGGAATTGTGGTGAAATGGGGTCTCGGAGGCAACCAGGGATGGTTCAATTCGGGGACATTCCCTTGCCTTCCCATCGAACCAGCCGCCCCAATTGGCATGGCACAACCCGCTGGCCACCATAGCCCTTTGCGGCTTAGCGAAAGTGGGCTGCGCATGCGGAGTTTCCCGCCCAGCGGCGCTGGGATTTGTGAAGTACCCAAAAGCAGTGCACCTTGCTTTGCCAGTTTCCAAGGCGTCAGTCAGGTTTGCCAGAGAACAGTTTGTACATTGGGCGACACCGAGAAGTGAGTCAGCCACAGGCGAAGGGAGAGGACTAATTCAAATCGCCGGCCAAACAAATACAGTCTTACCCGGTGGCATGTTGCCGGAGCAGAATGCATTTGAACAGCGGGTGCCTTGAGCTATGGGTCCGAGTTTTCGTTTCACAAAGACTCAGCGAGACTTCGGCCATGGAGCGGACCCATTCCTTTTCTGAAGGCCAAGCTTGCAATGCACCACCACGTTCCCCCAGAACATCCCAATTTGGGACCCCGGACCCGCCAGCACTTCCAATGGACCCCCTTTCTCCAGTTTTTCTTTCTCAAAGTGGAGCCGGAGCTTTTCTCTTTTGAGCCATGGCGCTGGAGCTTGTGAAGGAGGCGGGTTGCGAATTCTTCACCCGGGTGGACGGAAGTCCCTTTCTTACGTGACTTCCATTTGCTCAAGATTATTTGTTATTTTCCCCTGTTGGTTTTAAATGGAATCTATCACTGCTGGACATATTTTTATTTTTTCCGGTGGGCTTAAGCAAATGGAAGGTGAGGGGGGTGGCTTTTCTGAGCTGGTGCTCCGCAGGGAAATGCGGCAGGTGTTTTTTTTCTTTTCTGGGAATGAGTTGGAATGAGCCCGAGGAAAACCATCCAACTGGTGGTTTCCTTTAATGCTTGAAGGGGACTGAGTTCATTCCCACATTCCCTGAGCGCCTGCAAGTAAACCCAAATGGGCGAGGTTATTTACATTTCCCCAGGAGGACCAGGCTGGAGAAGCAGGCACCGCCATTTTGCCCATCCACGGGCGCTTCTCCCTTGTTCCTAGCAAGTGTTTCTCGTTGTTTTGGTCTTTCGCTTCTGCTCAATTTTAGTGGGGGGTTGCAAAAAACGAAAGTGTTTTGCTACCGTGCCAAGGCTTGTGAAGTACCCCTAGAACACCGCAGGTGTTGAGATGCAGGTGAGGCGATGTCTCTCAATTCCCCCATGACGCGTTGAGGCACGGCCTGTCCAATTGCCGCCCAGCAGCCTCTCTTCGCCGGAGTGGTGCGAAAGTATTCGAGAGCTGCTGCAGAATGACCAGGCGGGTGCTAAGTTCACTCAGATCGGTGTCCAGGTCCAAGACCTCATGTTCAACTGAGCCACAATCCAAATCTGAGCAAGAGGTTGAGTAACGCTCCCAGCCATAAATAGGTGCAGCAGCGGCCCTCTTGATTCTTTACATGAGTTCGGATAGAGCACGTTATACCAGATTTTGGTGGCTCAGCTGTGTTCTTTGGCCTTCAGGGCGCCGCTGCTTTTCCCCCCAGCGTTCGATGGTTGTCAAGGTATTTGTCACATTTCCCACTGAGCACTCCGGACTGATTTTCCGGGATCACCCTTGAAAGGCCGCACATTTGATGGTTCGGATCAAACCACCCATGCCAACCCTACCCCCGCCCCAGCCCCCACCCCACCCCTAGTACCCACCCCACCCCTACTACCCCCCCCTCCCCCCCACCCCAGCCCTCACCCCCTACCCCCCGCCCCCCCCTTCCTTCAGGCCCCAAGGGCGCTGAAGGCGGCGGACCGCGCCCTGCGGGACTCCGTGAAGCGCAAGGCGCGAAATCCCCCGCGAGAGACGGGCGCGCGCGCGCACGCGCGCGCTCGGGACATGTGTCGAAGCAATCGAACCCTGCTCGGAGGTTCAAACTTGATGAATAGGTTCTGACCATGGAACCTGGTTAGAACTGGGGCAACTGGGGCTACAGTAGTGCTCTTATATGGTGATAAGTTATGACCTAGTTGCTAAGTAGTTTGCACGGACACGCAAGTGGCTTCCTTTTAAAAGAAGCCACAAGGAGGTCAACTGTTTAGCTGGTTTGACCATGTTTAACGAAGGAGTGGCACACCTGCTGGCTGCCGGGTGAAGTGTGGTTTGAGATGGGTGTGTCATTCTCACCCCTTGAGAACTCAAATTGTCAGTAACACCCTTGTTCTTCTTGTTTCTTTGGTGGGTCCCCGTTAAAAATGGTCAACTCTGAACAGGCTGGTAGAAAGGGTCAATGGGCAACTGGGAGATGTATGGCAGGGCAGCGTACACGGGCAACCAAAGAGTTACCCACTTGGCATGTTCCCCTGTTTGAGACCTTCAACATCTTTATCTTTGAGTTTCCAATTGTAGGATGGACACGATTTGGGTTTTTGCCGCAGCAAGAAAGCACCAATGTGGCACCAGCCGTCGCAAGCAGGGCATCTTGGTTTGGGCGCAATCTCATTTGCCTGGAGTACAGTTGGCCTTGAACTATGATAGAGGTACCCTCCCTAACCCCCCCCCCCCCACACGGTGTTTTCCAAATTTGGCATTCCTTTAATTAAAAAAGAGGAGCAATAGGGTACCCTGACACAAGACACCAGTAGCCAAGTTTGACCCAACAACTGTGACCCTCCCTTGGCCAAAGCGAAAGGAGCTTCACACCGGGCCACAATTTGGGTTCTGTAACGACCATTTTGTCATAGGATCTCATCCCCCTCCCGAACCTCCACAGCCTGTTTGCCAAGAATCAGACCCTAACTTTTGGAGGAAATCAGGGGAGGGGCTAGGGGTTAAGGTGGCAAACAAAGGATTCTCAGCAGGGAATGAGGGAATGCCCCCGAGGAAAACACATCCCTCGTGGTTTCCTTTAAGGGACCCCTGGGTTCATTCCCAACACCCGGAAGGTCTTTCCCTGAGCACCCGCCAGTTGGTGTTTTCGGGAGCTCCGTTCGGTCTGCCTTTGGATTTGGGTTCAGGACAAGGCCGGCGAGGCCCGCGCGCGGCAGATGCAGGCAGGGAGCAAGAGCAGAGGGACTTGAAGGGCATAGGGCAACTGCAGTTTGCATGGGGTGGCGTCTCAGCTCCACCTCCAAGAGGGGACTTTTGAATGTTCACTTCAATTCATGCTCGGCAACAAGCTGAGAGCCAAGAACGGACGAGTGGGGTGGCGCCTCAGGCTAACTTAGCAGATCCAAGGCCCTTTGAGGCTTTTGAGCTCTCTACAGCGTTCATGGAGCCGCATGAGGCAGGATACCAGTCTTGCTCCCTGGGTTTCTTCACTTTGTATTTTGGGACTGGACCGTGTAGAAAGAAATGTGACGCACGGCCGTGAGTTGGGGGACCGCCCACGCGAGGTACGTGTCCTCTTCGACCTGCCCGGCGAGGATCCCGACGACATCGCAGAGGATCCCGACGGTCAGAGCTGAGTGTGATCACCCCCTAAGTCCCAAGTGATGAACATAAACAACACATCCTTCTGCATCACCCTCGACCCCCCCAACAACCACTGCTTTTTGGACATTGGGGTTTTGGACATGGTTGAAAAAGCAGTTGCAAGTTGAAACCCGGGTGCTGGCTGGGAGTTTCTCAAATTGGCTTAGCACTATCGGTTTTGGAAGGCTTCGGCCTAAAGGACGCCAACGATTGGAATCGGAAGACTGATTGCTGTTTTGAGAAACACCCCGAAGTTAGGGCGAGGGGGGTAAAAAGAGCTCACGGTGATGGTCCCTTGGTGCCAATGTTCACTTTTTGGACATGTTCTCGAGTTTGCAGAGGCCTGGCTGAAAGCTGTCCCATTTCCCTGCATGAATGCATTCCCAGGGGCGGGGATTGGGTGTTTTCGAGGGTATCCTGAGGTTGGTTTGACATCCCTGGTTCATGGAATCGGGTCCCCGTAAACGGGACCTTGGTGGCGACACGTCGGGTTTGTTCTATGTTCTAATTCTCTCCTTGAGTTCCTGGACATGTTCCGCTTTTAGAAAGACCATACGAGTGACAAACAACAAGTTCAGACTTGTTATAGTGAATCTGAGTTAAGGGTGTCCTTTGTGGTTGCTGAAGACCAGAATGCCTGGGGCCCAGTGCCATGTGACATGTGGTGGTCATTGTTGGAAGGTACCCGTTTTCCTTTGATTAATGGAAACTAAAGGGGAAGCGGTTCCCTCATTTGATGGCAAAGGCAAATCCAGTTGCCAGTCAGGGCTTTGTAACCCTTTCCCGTTGGTGGAAAGTTCCAAGACGCCATAGAGATTTATAGAGATTTATTTCTGGTTGAACCAAACATGGAGGATCACAAGGCATTTCAGATTGTCAGTTAGCAAACTGGTCTTTGGTACGGAATCGCCCCGAATCGATGCTTTGGAACATGTTGGCAAGCATACTTTGCATTGAGCCTGCGAAAGCGAAGTGGTTCATGTGCTTCTCAGAAAGTCCCAATCCGTAGCACTGCTTGAGGAACAAAGCCAATCAACCTACTTCATGGGGAGCTTACTTGACAACAGCGAGCTTATGTTTAGAATTGTTTAGATCATGTCAGATCCCATTCGAATCCCTTTCAGGTTTTGGTCTCACTCAAGTTTTCTGTTTTGGACCATTTTGGTGGCAAACACAAAGTTTAAATTTGTTTTGGCCAAGGCTGGAGTCTCCTTCTGACCCCTTCGAAATGGCCACATATTCCTGTTTTGGGCAACCCCATTTTTGAAAGGTCAGGAGGAGACTTTAGGTACCTAAGCGAGAAACGGGCCCACGGCTTGACATCGCAGGTGGCCAAAGTTGCGGCGAAGTCTCTCAAGGCATCGGTCCGAACAAAGGACTTCAGAGCTGCCGCCCTTTTGGAAGTGCGTTCCTCAAAGTAGATGTGAGTGTGCCTTTTTTCAGGGGACCCCCCAGAATGGTGGACAAAAAGGGGTACCCTCAATAAAGACACAATAGGGATTGATTTCAAGGCAATCACTATTTTGGGGTCTTTCTATGTTGTCACACCGTCAGACCTGTATCGAGCTTTAGACCGTTTGGTTTTTCTATTTTGTGACATGCTCAGAGGTTGTCGAAAGGTGCACACATTTGCTGGGACATCTCCAATCATCTTGGCGGATGTGACCGGGTGGCCTATTGTATGGTGAACTTGCATGGGGGAAAGACAAGTTTCGGGTTTTGGAATATACTGTTCCACCGCCAGAGGGGACCCAGTGCAGCCCATCGTTTGACCCAGTACCACGGGCTTCATGGTTGAGCCATGGTGCTAGAAGTGGCTTTCACGCTTTCTTCATACAGACTTCAACGACCCAGATATTGTGTTTGCTCCTTTAACAATGATTGAAGAAACACTCGCAGCATACGGAAGGAGAAGGTGCACGATATCAGTAGATTCGATTACAAGAACGGCGTCCACGGAGACAAAGGTTGCCATGATCGTTTTTGGTTTTTGCTGAGAAAGTTGAAGATAGTTGCTCAAGCCAGCCTGGCACGCGGTGAAGCTGTACAGCTAGTGGCTCTTGGTCCCCCATTTGCCCCATTTGGGTTCGCAGGGCTTTTAGCGTCCACCACCTCCTTTCTTGGTGAAATAAGCTCGGCTACACTTTCTCCGTTGGTTTTCGCCCTAGAATTTGACTCCCAGTGGCAACCTACCTAGATCCGGAATGCATCACGTGGTTAGCAACCACTACACCAATTCGTGATAAGTTCGTCAACGGGCTACAAACAGGGTTTAAAGCAACTAGTGGTTCCTCCCAGACCAGCTGAGAGGCTTAATCCTGGCTTCATACTCTCATGCTGCCCCGAGCTCAGCTTTTGGTTTTCCATGTTTAATCCATATTTGGTCAAGGCTCCAGAAGGTAACCTTTTGCTTTGAGGTCCTTTGGAGTGGCGATTTGTCTCGGACCAATCGGCAGGGCGTGGAGGACATCAAGGGCGAGCTTTGGACGCTGCGGGTCTTGGCGCTCCTCGACGCGGAGGCGGATTCGCTCGCTTCGATTTTCGTCGTCGACTCGCAAGTTAGGAGTTCGGGGTGAAAACGTAAGCGGGATAGCGGCGGTACCAACGAGCCGTGCCATCTCCAAGTCGGTTTTGAAGTTTGGGGGCTTTGGGATTTGCTTTTTTTGGGGGCTTTGCATGGAATGGGCGGGGGGATGTCCACAACCCTGGTCATCTTGTTGCGCCGAGCTGGCATCTATGCTGAAATGAGTGTACATGTTCTGGTTCACCCACCAATGGACTAGCCTCAAAATATGTTTTTGGTTCAGTCCGGATTCGTTGTGTCCTTTTTTTTCGCAGGGGTGCAGCGCCAAAGAGGGGTAGAAAAATGTTCAGTGTGGATTTGCCCTTCCACAGGTTACCAACTTGTGATCTGGTCGGTAACAACTCGCGGTTCTTGGAACCCAGGAGTTGGTTTTCAGTTGGTGAGCCATCAGATGGCATGGCCAGGCCGCAATTCGAAAAGAGAGCGCTACGTGAAGCGATTTGTCAGGATATTGTGGGGCCGGCAGGGGAGAGCCCTCAAATGGGGGGGTTCACTATGTTTCACTCCATGGCTCCAAACGCAGCAATGCGAAGCGCCCAAGCAATTTGCGTCATTTTGGGTAAGATTTCTTAACCAATGCTCTTTGGACCAGAGCAACCTGCAGGCCTTGCGGGTGGACGACGCGATCGATGTGGGCAACAGGAGACGATGCAGGGTGTCGCTTCTTGGGAGCTGTCCGCGGCCAGTTTCACAGCATCGCTTCTTGGGAGCTCCCTGGAGTATGGTGGGGTGTGGTGCATCAAGTCAGGAAGGTAGGCGCCTAAGGGGCTTCAGAGACTCGAAGCAATGGGAAGGTCATGACCCGCGCCTTTTACATTTTTGCACAAAAAAGCTCAGATTCTTGGAAGATTTAAGTTGGATTTGCAGCACCCCTGTTTCTCCTTAAAACCGCGTGGGAAGCTACTTCCCAACCTACGACTCAAGAGTGCCTGACCTTGAGGCGTGCTCCCTGGCTGTCCAAGTATCATCCACTGCATCGGTTCGCAACTCCACGTACCTGTGCCAGCCCGACCGACCCCAATTGACGTGTTGGAGCCTATTGGGCATTCCTCTCTGACGAATGAAGACCTGGCCGCGGCCCCAATAGAGCCCCTATCCGTCATCAACGCTGTTGCGGGTTGTCGGTTGTCCATGTTGCGGAATACTCCCTATTCCACCATCAGTTGTTGTCTTCATCCCACCCTTTCCCAGGCAATTTCTGGTGTTTCACGGATCACGAGGCCTTCATTCTTTTTAATTTCAGGAGAATGTCTAGGACATGAAGTGCTTGGCAAGAAAAGCCGTCATTAAACAACTCTAAGTTCTGGACAATGGACACACATGATAGAAGTTCCTGTGATTCCTCCTGAATTTCAGGTCGAGGAGTTGTTTTTTGATTTGCTCAGATGGGCAGCGAGTTGTTTCCTTAGAATCAGGGTGTGTACAAAAGGGAAACTGCATCATTGTTTGCGTAGGCAATTTAGGGGGGGGGGGGCATAGGTGCCGCGTGGCAAGCCTGGGATGATACATCTTAGAGCTGTGCGTGTTTTGAAGCTTTCATGTTTCGCACTTGTTGAGGCCACACGAGGGAGAGTGGTTACATGGTAGCTATGAGATTTGCATCGTTGCGACTTAGCCGGCAAGCTCCCATCGCTCAGAAAGTCAGGCCTAGAGTTTTCGAAACAGAATGACTGCCTCCATCCATTCAGGCTCTGCGCAGGCTCCGTGTAGGCTCCCGCGTAGGCTCGAGGCCCATTTTGTGAAGTTGTCTCTTCCCGGGCAAGCGGATTGCGCAGGGTCAAGGAAGACGCAAATGCGTGCGCGTAGCCACCCTTTGCAGTCGCGGAGGCTTTCTTATGGACCTTAAGTTGTTTTTGGTTAGGGTGTGTATGTGTGTGTGTTGCTTGATCCACGTTCTACACATACCCTTCTTTGGAGATTCCTGACGTGGGTGGGGCCAGATCCCAGTCTAAACATGTCTAAACACCTGTAGTTCAATCAGCCTGACTTTGTGCAACCCACCCTTGGGTCAATGCGCTTGCCCCCCCCCCCCCCCCCACCAAATCGCAGGATGCTCGCCAAGTCGCGGGAGGCGGACGACGTGGGCTTGGAGGCGCGGCTTCGTGGCCAGAGAGCCAAGACGAAAATGGCTGCAACATGTTTGCGGAGGGAGGATGGAAAAAATGGATGAGTGTGCCCTGTTCGGGCCCGTTCTGAAAGGAGAGAACCAGGGCACCGGTACGCACCCCCACTTAACCCAACTACAAAGGAGTTTCTGAACCTCCAGCTCCTACAGGGCCCTATTGTTGCCCTGTCGCCCAAACAGCGCTGGGGCGAACCAAGCGGTCCAGTCGTTTTGCCCCGCCAGGGCCTGGCAGAGCTGACGCTAGCAGAGGTGACGTTGGCCGGACTCCGCGTGGAAAAGAGCAAAGACCACGCAGAGATGGCTCTGCCCGAGCACCCGGACAGGGTCACGGATCCTTTTTGGGGTTGCCTGTACATAAATTCAATGTTTTTGTTGGCACTCCTGGGTTTACGTCTAGACCCCAAAGCACACATGTTTTTTGTTTTTCTCCGACCCACAAAAAGCAGTAGAAAGGGTGGGGGTGGTGGTTTCAAGGACTCGCTCCCTGAGGTCCTAGACTTGATATGTTCAGGGCGACAGAGGAGTGCCCAAGCGAACACCTCAAATGGATTGCCCAAACAGGGCAGCCACAAAAAAAGCTCACAAAGCAAAGGGGGAGGGGGGGGTGAAAATACAGGCTCTGTTTTGGGCGAGTGCTCAATTGTCCAACAAGAGCCCAAATGTTTGCCACATTTCACATGTGCACTCGTTTGAGCGTGCCCGTTTCCGGTTGGTACGGCGAGCCAACAGGACATCGGAAAGCCGCTATTCGGGGGAAGCGTGAATTGGATCCTGGGTTTCTGGACTTACTTTCGAGACCGTTGTGGAAAGCAAAGAATTTGGATTCTTCTTGGCCAGTCCGTTCGCTTCCAACATGGCACCCGTCTCCGGGCTGGCCCCAAACACGGATTGAGCGAATTGTCGTGATGGGGGAAAAGGTGAGGTTTCGCCAGGGGAGCCTGGCAATCAAACAGTGCCAAGTGGGGAGCTTGGTGCGTATTGCGCCACAGGTTAACCTGGGACCTGAAAAAGGGGGCCCAAAAGGAGATTCCTCTACATATGATGCGAAACAGAACAAGTGGAACCTCTTCCCCCATGTCAGTGATTATCACATCAGCGTTTCCTCCCTCGCCCCGGAAGCCTGTAAATAGTGGTTGATTGCTTTGTTTTGCATTGTTTTGTTTTGCTTTGCTTTGCTTTGCTTGCTTGCTTGCTTGCTATGTTGCTATATTTTGTTGGCCTTTGAAGAGTAGCGTTTGATTTTTGTTATCTACAAGCAACCATCTTGTGTTTCCTCAGCTATCCCTTGAAGTGAGGGACAGTTTTGAACCTGGGCTTCATATGATACCCTTTTTCACCTTGCGCTGAAGGAACATACCCACCTTGGATTGTGTCAAAATCGGGGAACCCCTATTTCTGAAGACTATTTTGCCTGACTTGGAACCCACCAAATGGTCTCACGTCCCTTTTTAAACTAATCCCCAGGACCCCAGAACGCGCCCGTGCACAGGAGGACCCCCTTTTGGGGTTGGTTTTTAAGGACACCCAACAGGAAGTCCCGCATTGGGTTCCCCGGCACCCCACCCAAAACCAGCGTGACGCCCGCGCTCCCCGCGGTTCAGGCAGCTGTTCCTCCGAGCGGGGGACCGGTGTGGCCAGGGCGCATGCCATCAGGCCGGTGCCCTTTAAAAAAACGACTTGGAGGCGCTCGTTGTGGATGACAATTACCTATTTACCTCCCTGTTGGTCCTTCTTCTTTTTGTTTTTTTTAGTAATCGTTTGGTACTCTTTGAGTATCCGATAGTATGGTGGATCCACAAAAGCCACATCCAAACCATGTTCTAGACTTCTTCTAGTACAAAATGGGTGTCATTACCGAAAGACAGGAGTTGTGGCCCCGACTCCAGGTACCGTCTTGAGGGTACCATCTTTTTAATAATCCTGGAAGGGGACGGACACCTCTCCTGTCAGCTTCCATGATTGGAGGGAGGGTTGTCCGTTACTCAAATATCCCTGCCCGGTGACCCTGGTAGAAAAGGAAGAGCGCCACTTTTGTTGCCAACCGGAAAGGAATTTTAAGGGCGAAATCGCTTGTCTTGTGAGTCCCCCCCAAGAAAAGACAGGACACAGCAATTTGGGGGGCCCTTACATATACACAAAGGCAACAGATACATATTTTCACTGAACGGGTACCTACAGCCATCAGTTTGGTGGTTGGACCATGGTAACAATTTGGGTATGTGTAAAAACAGGGATTTAGACCCCCAAATTGATTCCAGCCGTCCTTTTGGTTTGCCTTATCCACTGGTGTTCTGCCATTGAAACCACTTCAAAACACCCCTTTTCACTAAAAGGACGAGCGCCACCCATATAATCCTAACCATGTCAGCAGAACCCAAAGTGGGTTAGTCGCAAAACAGGACCTTTGTGAAACCAATTTGGAGATGTACGGGCTGAAATATGCCAGCAGACGCTCCAAATGGGATTTGGAAGCCCCCTATGTAGTCACCGAGAGTTGGGAAATATAGGGAACCTTACAGCCTTTGCCGATAAGCATGCCCTCGCTTTGATCACTCCTTGAGCTTGGGAAATGTTCCTTGCAGCTGGTCAAGTGCTTCTTGCACTGCAACGGGTCTTGTGAATGAACATGGACAACATGGAGACCGGGCGAGAGACAAGCAAACGAAGTGTCCCCAAGGGCCAACATGTGGTCTCTGTGGATCATCCAATCCGTTTTATGTATGTTTTTGTCTGCTCAGGGTCCGACCCCTCCCCACTAGCTCAATGTTGAAGGCCCAGGCTGTCGTGAGCCTTTGTGTACCCCAGGTTTCCGAAATCCTCCCCAGCTTGAGATCGGATTGCACAAATGTGGGTCCTCCCAAACGAGGGGAAGCCACCCGCACCATTTGCCCCCCAATCCCCATCCCCTAGCTTGGATCAAATCCCCGAGCGTTGAGTGGCTATCCGCCATTGCAAACAGCGCAGTAATCTCCGTGACTTGGTTGGTTTTCAAGTGCCCCAACCGTTCTAACTGTGGCCCTGGGGTTTTGTTGTTGTTTCGAGTTTGGAGGGAGTCACGCCATCCTGTTGGAAGTTTCACTTTGAGCGAGTGATCAAGCGGGCGGGCGCTCAGCGGCAGGGCTAGGGCCTAGCAGCTGGCAACGCCCAGGAAGCATGCGGTCAGCCGCGCGGATGGCACAGCGGCTGGCGCGGGGTGCAGCTGGACTGCCTAGAGGCCCCGCGCTCGGTGCATTGGGCCTGGGCCTGGCAGGTTACACCTGTGCTCCTCACCCGCGACTCTGCTGCTATTGGGTTGGATCTTTAGACTTTAACTTCTTGGACACCCCTCATATTTCCTTTTAACCTGCAAAAAGTCTTATTTTTTTGCTGGGGGATCAGCACCCGAGGCGAGTGGACTGCGAGATTTGGTGCAACAAGAAGGCAGAGGTGCTTTCGAGCCCTGCGATCACGATGCTCATGACGATCATTCGCGACAAGAAGACGACCCAGGCAACCTACGTGCAAGCAGTGGATAGGCTGATGGCCATTCTGGCAGAAGAGGGTTTGGCTCGACTGCCTTCCGAACCACAGGTGATTCAGACTCCATGCGGTCCTTATCAGGGAGTCACGGTGCCGCTTGGGCACACCATTTGCGCAGTGGACATCATGCGCTCTGGAGGCATCCTCTTAGAGGCAGTTCGCAGGGTGGTGCCGGACCTAAAGACTGCCAAGATATTGATACAGCGGGATGAGGAAACAGCTCTGCCAGGGCTGTTCTACTCAAAGCTGCCAGACGGAATCGAAAAGATGCAAGTGCTTCTTTGTGACCCCATGCTGGCCACGGGCGGCTCCGCGATCATGGCCATCGAAGTCTTGAAGAAGGCTGGTGTCAAGGAGGAGAACATTCTCTTCATCAATGTGGTCTCAGGTCCTGAGGGCATGCAGGCCATGGCTAAGAAGACTCCCGGCGTGCGAATTCTGACCTGCGGACTGGACTCCCACCTGAACGAGGCGAAGTTCATTGTCCCCGGCCTGGGGGATTTCGGAGACCGCTACTATGGCACCTCCGGCTACGCCCAAGGCATTTGGGGGACCGACGGCAGATGAGCCAATGGGCAAGAGCGCAAGGGCTTACGAGACAAGCCTCCTGTTGCCTTTGACCCGGGTCAGGGTGAATTCTACCAATTGCCAATGTGGCAGCTAGCAGTGCACGGCGCGTCAACTGAAGGAGAATGAGCTTAGCCCGAATTCTCGGGCTTGCTGGCTGGGAGTTTGTTCAAGCCATGAAGCAGTAAACAGTTGACAGCGATGTTTTTGGAACCACTAAGCAGCTTTTGTGGGATATGTGCATGAGTTGCTGTGTTGTTCCTTCCATGACGTTATTTGGTGAAGCTACGCTTAGGCTTGCCTCTCAAAGCCTTGGAGCCAACTTATAAACGCCATTCGTCACGCCAAGCTTCCCGAGTCAGCCGCAGTCCGCAAATCCGTTTTCGTTGGGTTCAAGACTCAGGACCTAAACTCGTCGAGGTTTGTCCCTTTCTGTTTGGGTTCGGGACCCGGCAAAAACCCGTCAGCCAACCAAGAAGTGGCTCCCTTTTGCTGTCTTTACATCTGGCAACAGTCTCTCGTCTCGGGAACAGTCCCTCATCTTCCCCTTCCCCCCTTTTTTGGACCTCCAGAATGGGTTTGTGAAAACTACGACCTATGACCCCTGGACCATGTTCGCCGCCCCTTGGGTGCCTCTTGAAGGCATAATGCCCTCTTTTTTTGGATTTTCGGCCAAGGTGGCATAGCAAGGATCCCCAATTGGACAGCCCAAGCACTCGCAGCCCTTGCCAGGTGCTGTCGGACCTGGCACGCCAGGACAGTGACGCGGACAAAGCCCTGGAGGCATGGCTGGGAGTTAGAATAGGATATGGGTACGTGGCAAAGGCATTTGATCGCCCAAAATCGTGGCTTTCCTTTGGGTGTCCCTTTTACACCCCAAAAAGGGTACCCTCAAAAAGAGACACGCATGTTTTGATCCCCTGATCATGGATGGTTGTCCTTTGGTGTTCCTGGTACACCACCACGAAAAGGGTTTCTGCAAGTTTGACTCACCCACTCGTGTGTTGTTGCTCGAAAGGGGTGATGTTCACAACAATCCCTGATGGTTTCACGTTCCAGAACTGTGGGGTCTCTGTTGGATGCTTTGAGCACGGAAGGTACGAGCAAATCAGGCATGTTGGGTCTTTATAGATACAAGCATGTCTTCAACCTGGGTCTTGAACACAGCGGTGAGAAATCGCTGTTTGCTTTGTTTCATGTGCGTGTTTGGGGGAAGTGCCTAGTTTCAGACACACATCCAACTTCGAACTTGGGGAGAATCCGCCTATAAGCCCGGTACCTTTTGGGAGGTGTCCAGCAGATCTCAAGTCGATACTTGACAGGCTTGTGGGATCAAGGGACAAACTCCCACCTCTGTGATACATGGGAAACCCCTTTTTATATTGGGGGTTAGTCTTTGGGAGGCCCTTTTTGTTGTATAGAAGTGGTCATTTCCCCCAGCCCTGTATAGAATTATGTACTGTAATTTCATTGGACAAATCTGGAGGACCGTATTAGGGGATCAATCCCTTCAAGGGAGAAACCAATCCATTGGAATTCGTCCGACTGGTATTGTTCTGGATGAATCCAAAGCCAGAACCTTCCCCACCCGGCAAGGAATGGTTTGAGCAGATGAAAGCGTGACCTCACTAAGGAATCTGGTGTGCAACAAAGATTTTAGCATTCCACAGGGACTCCTTATAGAAAGTGTACAGAGTCCCAAAAAGCACCTTAACCATACACGTTCCCAAAAGGCAAACAGAATTGTATAGGGCTGGCCACAGCCATGTTTGTGTATTGTAAGCATACATCCCTGGCAAGAGAGTGCTTACCCCATTCTCCCTTTGCGGCTTCTGGTTTCTCATTGGAAGTTCACAGTTTTCCGCCGGCCAAGGGAGTTGTTCGGTGATGCTCGGTGACAAGATCCTGATGTGAATCCTATGTTGGTATCACCATACGAGGGGTCCCAGGGGAAGGGTGGCTGGCTGTATATATCCCCTTTGCCTTGGTAGTCTGGTGGGTAGCGAAAGCCTGTGTTCCGATGGTGGCCCCCGAAGCGAAGGGATGTGCATCCCCATTTCCGCCCCCATTCTCCCCGTGCCCGGTGCTTTGTGGGTCAGGGCACGGGTCCCCCACCAAAAAAAAGAGCAAAACACAACATGCACGACAAAGAACAACCCAGACATCTAGCCCAAGGTTGGCATCGTTGAAAACGGATGTGCAGAAACTCCCCAACAAATGCGCCTTTTCTGGATTCACTCCAGGACGTTAACATGGTACTGATACCAGAGATGTTTGGCTGTTCAATGGTGTTCAAAGGTTATAACCATGGTTGCAGCTGGGGCTGGTCCCACCAAGGGTCAATAATGACCCAACCTACCTGACGGCCTTCAAAGCCAGTCGGAAATCGCCAGGCGGCCTGTAAGGCCCAGAAGTACTTCGTCTCTGGGGCGCGGCACTTGGGGGGACGGGGAGTGACAGCGATGTTGGCGGCCAAGTTTTCTCTAGGGAAACCCTGGGCGAGGATGGTTGCGTAGAAGCCCTGGGTGAGGAAGGTCTGCTTGTTTTTGCGTGTTGAATAAAGCTGGCCAAGTTGCTCAGCATTTCACCTTGCCCTAAAAACAGTTACGTTTGCTGAAAGAATGCAGCTAGCGCTCCAGGTTGGTATTTTCCTGCATGGGAATTGGTTGGAACGCACAATCACTTGGGAATATATAGGCAGCGCAACATGTTCCGCCAAAGCGGGTCCGGACGCCCCAGATGGATGTTGATAGAAGTGACTAAGCAGGCTCCAACAGTTGACTTTCGAACACCATTTGGTTCCTTTTTAAAGGTCAAAGCATCCTTCAACTCGGTTGGCAGGGACAGTCATAAACCCCGTAGTGGGTTCCGGTGAGGGAGCCATGACAAATGTGTATATATATATATATATATACATATGTACTTCTGACCCCAGCACGTATGCCAGTTGCCAAGTGGCACCACGGGTTGGGTCATTTTCTCCATGATCACTGGGCTGAGGTAAAGAGACCTGAAAGTGACCCAAGAGACCCGCGGGCTGTCAGGACTTGCACGTGTCCCGTGAGATCAGCGGGGTGGCAGGGGCGCTCTACAGACAGGCAGGGGGCTCTCGCGCCCAGTTCCGGTTTTGGGCGGGGGCAGGTTGATAGTTGATCTATTTGTTCTGCAATGTTGAATTGGCCCGCTGTGTGCTGCAATGGGAGCAACGAGCCCTGAATGCTTCAAGCAGCCTGACGCTAGAGGGATCAACAGGACCACTAGGGGGTTTAAAAATACATGTCCTTGTCCCCTGAACAAGAGTGTATTCAGGGTTTCTCCTCGGCTTATCCTGGGGTGGAACCCCCACCCCAGACTCAACACCCACCCCAGTGTTTGCCATTGTTGAGGCGAGTTTGAAGAGATCCGCCCATTTTCAGCCAATTAGCTGACGTGATGTACATATTAAAAAGGGGTGTGGTGTTTTTGAAGGGTACCCTTTTTAGGGTGAACCTTGGTTTACCGGGAAGCCAAGAGACCCTCCCCCCTTTTTTGGGTACCCGCAAATTCGCGTAAATCCATGTAAAAGGAAATCGGCTAGCCCTATGTAACGCATGGGGAAGTCTGCAATGGCTACAGGATGCTGCAGCCAAGGAAGATGCACATGGAGAGCGGCAATGGCTGTAACAGTACCAAACATGGTTTCAGGATTCAGGCTGCATTTGCTGGGAAGGTTTTTGGTCTGTTGCTTTCTCCTGTTGCATGGTGGCCAAGCGTGAGGTGGCCTAAGAGAGCAGAATGGTCTGTGACGTCTTCCGTTGGCTGGTGGCCACTTGGGCTTTCGCGCCGCAAGCGGCTGCATCCCTCCCCGAAAGTACGACCTCAAGGCGCCGAACAGTTTGGTCTCCTTTCTTTTGGAACCCGAAGCTGTGTCTTGACACAATTTTTCGTGGCTTGGATCCCTATTTTGGGGATCCCAAACGGAACCGACGAGGCAGGGCTTGCGGCTGGCTCTTTCCCTCTTTTGAGGAAAAGGGATGCCCCAAGAGGGTGTCGGCAATTTAGGGGCCCGGTCCCGTATTCCCAAAGGGAGGTCAGGCAAAGGCAGACCATGGCGCACGTCTGCTGGGTCTAAGGGATCCCATCCAACGGAGATGTGTCAACGGATGAAAATAGGGTTGCCCATGTATATGAGAAGGCCTTTTTTTTCTCCACGTCCCCCCGGAAAAGCCGACTTGGCTTGGCAACTTCGGACCGGGAGTTCGCTCCCTCGGTTCCTCTGAAAACGGGGGGTGTGGCGGTGGTTCGCGTTTCGTTTGCCTCCGGCGGGTTTCGTTCGCGCCAGGCCCTGGCGCAACTGGATCTGGCGGAGGAGATTGAGGCCCTGCGCACCGCTGAGAAGGCCACGGTCCATCGAAGCTTCGGGAAACGTCGGGGGCTGAAGATGGGAAGGTCCTGACGTATTTCCCAAAACGCAGTGGGTGTATGTGTGTCTTTTTTTGGGGGACCTTGTTTTGGTTGGGCCACAATTTGAAGCCAAGCAGTGTTTTTTTGTTGGGGGGGTATTCCATGTTGGGTTTGGGACTGTTGCAAAAGGAAACTCATGTAGACGGAGAGGGGCTCGGGGAGCCGCAAAAAGCAAAAGCGTGGTACTTGCAACCTCCAGTGGCCGGCCAGGTTGATGCTCCCTAAAACGCCTGATTTGGGCTAAAGACAGGACCACTTTGGTTTGGTCACAAGGGCGTCCGTTTCTAGATTCGCACCTTTTGTTGAGCGTCGGCCTTGCAACCACTGTTCTGATATTGTCAGATTTGGCCAAAGTTATCCTATGGTTCATTTGGAAGGGACATGGGGGACTTAATACATCCCCTCAAAAACCAGAGGACGAGCCCTAAATGTCCCATGTGCGCCTGGGGGTGCAAGTAATTTTCGCCAACCTGGCTGGCCTCAACAGATGAAGGTCTTGTTTCGCACCCCCCATTTCTGGGGAGTGGGACTTCAGCGATCGCCCCGTGGATCGGCACCTGGAGGAACCGATCGATCTTTGCCGCGCTCACGCGTGCCCACTGGTTTGCAGACGGGTTTCGCATACGAGATGATTAGGTGCCGAATGCACACCATGAACTTGGGCATTGGCCAGGACGTCAACGACCCCGCGCTGAGAAGTCTTCTGGACCGCGTTCTAAAATATTGACATGGGCCCAAGTGGCAGCATCTGCATGCATCTTCTTGTTAGGCAAGGAGGAAGTTGAAGCATCTGCCTACTCTGCTTCATCGGCAAGGTCGCCATGAATTTATTTTGATGTCCAGGTCCTTTGGGCAAGTGAATGAACACGTAAAAGGTTAAACAGGGGTTTGAGAGCGGCATTCATTTGACTAAGGTCGAGCAACTTGGACGTCATCTTTCCATCGGCTGGTAAACTCAGGGAACCTAGGCAGGTTAGAAGACCCGGGTGCCAGCTTGCACCAAGGAACAATCCTTGGTGTGGCGTCTGTTTGGAATCCAAGGGCGCCTACCACTTTGGATAGCTGAACATGCCATGGAGCTAGTAGGCGCCAAGCACTTTCTGCCAGGAGATGGCTAAGATCAGTATTCTCACACCCCGATGAATCCCCGAGCAACCGTTCATCTAACCAGGGAATCAGCGCGGGACAAACGTGATTCAAATAAGCAGTCATTTGGCCAGGGGGCCAGTGGTAAGCAGGCGAACAGTGCCCTTTCAGGGAAGCGACTGGGATATTGTACTGGTAACAACTTCCCACCAGTCACCAGGAGGTTGGTTTCGTGCTCTTTTCCCAGCCAGTTGAGAGAGTGACAACCCTTCCTCCTGCAGCTTGACCTTCAGGAACCCCTCCATTGTCGCACACCCCAGTTTGTCGAGTGGGTTAAACCGGACAAAAACAGGGAGCTCCAAAAATAGCAAGTCTTTGTGTGGTGGTCGAACATCACTGTCAAATGCTCTCAAATGCTCCTATTTTGCTCACCGGTGTTTGTCCAGCTCCTTTGGAAGAGCGTCAAACAGATCCATGTCGGGAGCGTTTTCTGGTCATTTTCTAGCATGGGGCGCTCGCTCTTTGGCTCTCGCTAAGACTTCGCCTCGGCTCGGCTCGGATAGCTGGGATATGGCAGGCGGTGGATGCGTGCTTCCAGATGTCGGCGAGGGACTGGGAGGCGCAGGGCCTGGTGCTGGTGGCCCAAGCGAAGCTGCTCCTGGGCCGAACCGAGTGACCGAGTGACCGAGGGCGGGAGGGCGGGGAGGGCGAGGGCGAGGCCGGGAGAAGCCTTGCTCCGTTTCGTGATAAAGAACACTACGGGGGCTTTCCTTTTTGGAGGGGGATGTTGGATGAAAAGTGGGTGTTCCTTCTTTTCGAACCCCAGTTGGATTGATAGTGGCTGTTTCCATGGTTAGCTTTTGCGGGTGAAGCACCATCTATTAATCCCAGCGGTTCATCAGCCCAGGGTGCGCTTTGGCTGGGCACATACCTACCAACCTGAGGGCAAGATCGGATTTCACTGGCCGTCTTACTATGTCTGTCTTTCAGGGATAGATCGAGCTGGAAGCTGGACGGCCAGTTCACCAGAAACAAATGGACGAACAAGACTGGGCGGCGTCTGAGCACCAGCGATATGGCCATTTTTTCGGCAAATCTATGGGGAAACTGAAATGAAGGTGTTTGGACAAATTATATCGCATAAAGGTTCTTTTCTTGGGTGGGTGGGGGCCCAATATATTTTTACAAGCAAAGCGGCGTGGATGCTAGGACTTTCCCTGGAGTAAACTCCTTGAGAGGAATTTTGGGGGCAATCGATTTACCGCAGAGGGCAGAGGGATACCCATAACAAAAACGTTACACTCCGGGCACCCGAGCCCTTTTTGCGCCGTTACCTTACGCAGGTAGCCAGACTCCCCCCCCCTTCCAATATTGACAGCGGTGACAGCGGTACTTGTTTTTTAGTTATATAGCATCGGTTTGCATAATCAGGAGCGGATGCAAGATAATTATTTGAGACGCGGGTACGCGGTGCTATTGCTGATTAGATTGTGTGGTTTCGGAGAGTGTCCTTTCCGGGGTTGGCTTAAAGAGAAGCCACGGAGGATATCTACCCCTATTTTCACAGTCGCGTTGCTTCGCTTGATTTGACTTGGTGTTTGGCCGAGAGGCAGCGTTCCGCTTGGCACTTAGCACCCCAGGGCGGTGTTCGACGCGAAAGGGGAGGAAGGCAACATCAACCACAGCATCCTCAAGGTGCGCTGAGAGCGGACATCCTCTGAAAAAAACCCAAAACGATACCCTTAAAGTCACGCAGCCTATTTGGCATACATTTTTCGTGGACAGAACATTGGGGATTTCTGTCCAACATTGCAAGGAGGTTCGAACCAGAAGAATTCCGGTTGAGCAATGCAGGAGTCACGGACTTGACTTGGCATACATTGGCAACCGGTTTTTTGGACTTCCCAATGAGATCTTGATCGCTTCTGCGAGCTTCAGCAGGAAAGCAGCAGGAACAACAGACCGCTAGAAGGCCCTCATGTGAACTTTGGGCCTGTTTTTTTGAGGAACTGTGAAACAATCGACACCTGAGAACACCACAGGTCTATGGTACTGCAGGATGTAGGAGGAGTAGTTTCATGTTTGTCAATGTACCTGTGGCACAACAGTAGTAGTACTCTGTGCCATCCTGTGTTTCAGGTTTGGGATTCTTGTAGATTCGCAGATGCAATTGTGTCCATGACCTGTGTAGGTTGGTATTGTCAGTGCTGTTGGCCTGTATTCACGAGTTCTGAGCTGGCTTTCAATCGTACTAAGTAGCGATGTGTCTTGGTCTAGCACAATTGTGACCAGATGATAGTCTTAACCAGATTTTGGACGGGTTGCAAGGGATGCCTAATCGCAGACTTGCCAGATGTGTATCAATCCTTAGTAGCTGCTGCCGTGGTTGTGGCTGCGGCTGTTGCAGTCGCGGTCATGGTTGTGCTTGTGAAGGTTGTCGTGGTCGTCGTCGCCGTCGCTGTCATGGCTTGGCGGTAGGGTTGTTGTTGTTGGTGGTGGTGGCGGCGGCGGTGGTGGTGGTGGATTCGTGCTGAGTTCAGGATTGCTTGCTTACTTGCAGTGGGCTTTTTTGTGGCGTTTCACTTCTCAGACTTGTGGGGTGTCAAAGCTCAGTTGCGGCAAATATGGAACTCAGCGGGAGGGTGCTTCACGGGCGTCCCTTTTGGGTGACTCGGTGTTTCCATGGGATGAAGAAGGAGGCGCATGATAGGTGCACCCGATTTCCTCTGGATTTATGAGGGTCTTGGCTGCCTGCGGTGGAAGCAAAGCTCACTTGTTCAGAGCCAACCGTTCAACTGGATTGGTACAAGTCTGTCAATATTAAGCACCTTGACCTGACATTTCGACTGTGAGGATGTTTGAGAGAATTTCAAGCACGCCGATCGAATATATAGAAGAGTGCTACACACTGGAACCGCACTTTTGCTTCTTTTTCGTCCAGGGGGTCCCAACTAGCAAGCCTTCCATATATGTGTTCGCATGCCTTTTCCACACACTTGGAACCAGGTAACATAAGGGGCACATTCATGAGAAACAGTTTGCTCCCATCATCATATCTGAAATTGGTTTTAAGTACGAACCAACCCACTTATTTAACTATTTAGGCCAGATGATGGCCTCCCCTCAAACATGTACTTGTGGTTAGGTGGTTTTAGAGCACAACTACCATTCATTTGTTTCTGAAAGAGGCGCCTTTTGTAGTTAAGTGCATATAAGCAGGGGCTCAGACCGTGAGCTGTCCGAACAAGGCAAACCTGGTTGCTTTTGCACTGGTTTCCCGGGTTTGGAAAATGTGATTGGCCAACCCTTGAGCCCAGTGAGAGCTTTTTCCCGTCAGAGCGAGTCGATTTCCACGGAAGCTTTGGTGCATTTTGCTTGGATGTTAGGACTTGCACTTTTTGCCAACTAATGGGTTTTCCATTAAGCCACTAAAAGTAAAACTTTTGGCATGAGAGCAGAAAGCAACCGAGGAAGGTAGGCTCCACCTGTTCCAGCGGGACCTGTTGGCAGGTGGCACAGATTGGTGCGGATCGAGTTGCTCGCCACCGCCCCAAGCACCGGACCCTCATGGCGCAGGCGAAAATGTTTTGGCGGCTCGTTTCTGAAAGCTTTGGTTTTTGTTTTGCTTGGATGTGAGGACTTTAACTTTTTGCCAACGAATGGGTTTTCCATCAAACCACCAAAAATTAGACTTTTAGCAGGGGAGCAGAAAGCAACCAAGAAATAGTGTAGTTCACCAAGTTGGAATGTGGTACGGGGTCCAGAAGGATGTTGCTTCGGAATCCCCCTGCCTTTTGAAGTTCTTTTTTTTGCTGACACGCTCTGACTGGTTTGAACCATTTGGGGTTCCTCCACCAGTTGTTCTCCGGCTCCGGGCATGTCTTTTGAAAGAGAGGCCCCAAGGGAAGCAATAACAGAGCAAAGGCCGAGTATATATTGACGGTACTTTCAGTTTCCTTAATCCTTTCTCTGTTGTCCTGTGTAGTGCTTTGCTGGTGCAAGGTTAGGGTGAAATTGCACTCAAACTTTCCCATGCTTGTAGGCTTCATTCTCCTTTTTTTAACCTCGGACATCATGTTCGCAACATTGATGCTCGGACAATCCTTGCGCAGTCTTTCAACATGATCTTGCCTCGGACGACAAAAGAGCACTTACAGACAAAGACACAGAACTCAGAAGCAGAAAATACAGAGACACAACCAGACATAAACTAAGACAGCGACAGACAGACAGAGAGACAGACAGACAGACAGACAGACAGACAGACAGACAGACAGACAGACAGACAGACAGACAGACAGACAGACAGACAGACAGACAGACAGAGACAGACAGACAGACAGACAGACAGACAGACAGACAGACAGACAGACAGACAGACAGACAGACAGACAGACAGACAGACAGACAGACAGACAGACAGACAGACAGACAGACAGCGAGACAGACAGACAGACAGACCGACAGACCGACAGACCGACAGACCGACAGACCGACAGACCGACAGACCGACAGACCGACAGACAGAGACAGACAGACAGACAGGCAGGCAGGCAGGCAGACAGACAGACAGACAGACAGAGAGACACAGAGACAGAGAGACAGAGAGACACAGACAGTGACAGACCCGGACGCACACGAGTGGGACATACACCATACACTCCACCTCCCCACCCCACACACACACATACACACGTGGACATGCACATGCACATACGTATGCACCCCCCCCTCCCGCCCACCCACACACACACACAGGCACGCACAACTTGACACACCAACACGCAAACTCATGAACGCGCGAAGGCAGAACACGAGCGCACACACACACACACAATCCTGCCATCGGGCTTCATTGTGTTTCATGTTCGGCTCCCAAGTTCTTCGCTCTCGGGAGGCTTTGGTCACCTTGAGCGACGCCCTGATCCGCACTGGGGGCCTTCACAGCGCAATGTCTGCGGCCAAGGACCAGACGGGGCCTGGGGTCTATGGATGTGGCTGCTTGTGGTTTGAGCCCCAGGGGGAGCCACAATCCAGCCTGGGTCAAGTTCCAAATAGGTTTAGGTTTATCAAAACTTCTTTTTGTTTTTCTGGGATCTCAAAATTAAATTATGTTTGGGGCTTGCCTTTAATCCCCTACTCTCTTTAGAGGGTGATTTCATGGATGCCAATTTAGTGCACTCATACCTGTCTTGTTGAAGCTTCACCCGATATTTGAGGAATACTTTCTTTGATGCTAGGTGTTGACTGTGACTATGACTCAAGTTCGGCCTAAGCAGGTTTCGGCCCTTTGGATTTTTGTTGGCTGGCAACTCAACTACGTTTTGCCCAACCCTGGTCCGTGATTGCGTGAAGGTCAAAATAGCATGTGTTTGTTCTGTGTTTTTTTTTTTTGCGGGGGGGTCATATACAAGCGCCAAACCAATCATAGGATAGGGAACCCCCTTCAAAGTGAGGCCTTATGTGCCTTAAGAAGGAGTAATAATTCGGGTAATAATATGATATTCAAAACCTAGACCGCCCACCTGAACGAACGTCCAAGAACCAATATATGGACATCAAGTTTGGGCTCCCCGTCCTTGTCCCAACATGGCAATGTATTTTTCTCGGGCACCCTTTCCTTTGGTTTTGAAGGGGAAGCCCACCATTTGGTGGTCCGAATCCCTTGGACAGACCCAATGGGAGTCTCGGCCATCAGGACGCTAAGCTGTTCTACCAAAAGGCGGGTCTTGTGCCCTGGCCACGACAGGGTCCGCGACCTGTTGGAAGCCAATGGCTGTCCAATGAGTGCAAAAGCTTCAAAAGTTCGCCGTAATCCACCCAGTTAGGCCTTTTGCAAGGCTAAGTCCTTCAAGAGGCGCTGATCTTTCAGAGACTGCATTTGAATTACAGGGCCTTGATTTGAAGGCCTTTGAGATGTTTTGAGCGAAAACCAACGTTTGCACCTCTGGACAAAGCAATTGAACGGTGTTTCTATCCTGCTTGGTAGTGCTTGCATGTGGGTGTGTGCGTGTGTGTCTCCTTTGCCACCGTGAGCAATTGAACCAGCTGAAGCCATGTTTGAGGGTGTGGATTTCCCCAAACCAACACACTGAACAGGTATACATGGATCTATCTTAAAAGTTTCCATTTTGGTGTCCCTCTAAAACCGTTTCAAAAGGGGTCTCATCCAGACATCATCATTTGAACTTCTGGGGGCTTGAGCCTCCGGGTACAAAGCCAGGGGTTTTTCCTGAAAGGGGCCCACACAATTTGCCCAGGGGAATCTTGGAAATCGCATCACCGACGTTGATGTCCTTTTGGGGAAAGTGAGTGTGGCTTTTTTGAGGGTACCCTTTTGGGCTTGTGGAAAGCGAAAGGGCAACCACTGTACCGTTTTGGGGGTATTTAAGACACACCCAAGCAGCTTGGTCCCCAGTCACACGAGGTGCGGTCAGTTTTTTGTGTTTTTTTTCTATTGTCAATTTGGGATCGGGATGCGACACACGAGAAACTCTGGGACGGAACTCACAATTTTCTCATATCCACTCGGCGAACCTCTTGTTCCAACATGTTTAAGCCACTTTTGTTTGAACAAGCCTTCTTCGTGTTTACGTTTCAAGGGCACCAAGGTCTACAGTCAGTTGACTTTGGAGGTCTGGCTGAGTTGCAGGGCACATGATTTCCATGCGCAGGTGTGTTAGCTCAATCGCTTGAACAAATGTTCCATTTCCCATCTCCACAAGGTTTCATTGTTCCGTGGCACTCTGTTTCCCTTTGAGTTTGGGGAGGGGGTCCCACTCAAAGCCGTCGCTCCAAACATGGTTGTTGGGAAACATTTCACATCTTTGTTTCTTGTGGTTGAGTGGTTGAACTCCAACCACTTCACTGCTAAGATCTGAACATTTTTGCTCCCCTTCCCACGTCAACCAAGCCAAAAAACGGGCTCCAGGCGCGCACGGGCCACCTGTCCGCGCAGTGAGTGAGTCGCGCTGAGGAGCTGCTGGCGGCCAAGGCCCAGCTGAAACTCGCAGAGGCGGAGGCGCGGCGCGGATCGAGCGTGACGCCAGGCGTCGGGCGTCCCGTGTCTAGGTCCCCAGCGAGGTGCCCTTTTTTCCCGTTTTTGGTTGGGAGGGCTCCCCTGCTAAAGTAGACTACAGAAACAAAGGGTGCCCTTATTGTAACCTCTCTACTGGAGCCCCTAGTTGTGGTTTTCCGGTGAAACCGCCCGCAAAAGTGGACATCCTGAAACAGAAACGCTGTTGTTTGGGGAAAATTCTAGCGTCATGTTGCGAGGTGTTTGCAAGGTCAGCCGTAAGTCAATTAAGGTGTCCTTGTTTGCGGTCCGGGAATTGTTAGTCCTTATCCCGTTTTAAAGGGGTTTGTTTGGGTGAGTTTCCAAGTAGGTGATGCATAGAAATCCTTTCTGGTCAGCTTGGCTAGAACGAGATGCATTCCACTGGTTTTCGGTTGCCAGTCATTCCCCAGAACTAGTATGTTTTGACAGCACCACGCCTGTGATCCTTTGCCCAGTTGTATGGCAAGTTTCCGCGAGTGCGTCCCTTCCCCCTGACCACTCGGCATGCGACATTCATTGTCGCTGCCAGGTTTTGATCGTGGCGCACATTGAAAATATACATATATGCATGTTAGACAATCATGGTCTTGCATTGTGAGCTGACAACTGGGAGCCATGTGTCAGGTTTTAGGCCTTTGTGGCCGATTGGTGCTGCTGGAGGAGTATCCTTAATTGTTTTAGGTTGCAGAAATGTGCCGAGTATGTTCTATCAGCCAGACTCACGGCCCCTTCAAAGGGAAAACAGGAGGCTGGTGCAACGTGTTTCAGCCGGGGAACCCAACCCCTGAAGGATGGCCACACAAAACAGAACTCCAGTTTTCGTTTGTTAATCTTAGCCAAGGAGGTGTGAAGATCCTTCAAAGGAGTGAATTGGTATCGACCTATGTTGATACCATATGGTTGCGGTGTTTGAATCTGGACGCATGAAGTCTTTCAAGCTAGTTTTGTGAGCGATTGATCGGGACCCGTCCCGCCGTCCCCGTTTGATACTCCCAACATGAAATCCAAAAAGGGGGTCAAAGGGAGATCCCTCACACATATGGGTTTTACGTTTTGGGGAGCAAACCACACTTATCGGTTGAGACGTCACCCAAGGTGAGAGAAAAGTGACCATCCTTCAGTCAGGGTGATGTCTGAAAAGGGAGTATCGAGAATCCTGATTCGGTGCCCAATTTTCAGCAGCTTACTGCATGGCGAGTAGTGTGGTGTGCTGGACCGGCCATGCGGTTGTGCACTGAGCACAGAGCTTCTGCTTGCTGCCAGCTGGCCGCAAGAACATGGCATTCGCATCAGGGAAGTCACTAACCTCAAACCACAAAACACCGGGTGCCCATGTTTTGTTTGTTTAACTGTCCATGGTTGGTGACATACGGGTATGTCTCTACAATGCCCAAGACATGTGTTTTCCTTTTTGGTGATCGTGTAGAGAGGACGCATACCACAGCATCGACCATACTGCCATGCGCCGATCTTTCAGCATCCTGCGGGTGGCGCCGCGGAAGTTGCAACGCCGAGGCCTGCTGGTTGTGTCAGGCGTGGATGTCGCTGAGCTTCAGTCCGCTCGGTCGGTTGGGTTGTATGTAGACATAACTGGGTATGAATTTTGATGAGAGACCCTTTGGTGGACATCATGTATATAGGTAGTTATTTATGTCTACCAACCACTTTTCAGGGGGTTCCCCATTAAGATTCAAAGCCAACTCGCGTCCGGAGTTTCTAGACTTGATATTGTGCCTGCACCTTCATTTGAACACTTATGTTTGCTCGATGTGGTTTGTCACACTTTTTCTGGCCGACTGATCAAATATGGGCCGGTTGGGCCGAGTTGGAAATAAAATGACCGATTCTATGGAAAAGGGTCGTGGCAATCCTTGCAGGCTGTTGTTTTGCATGGACGGCCCGCAACTGGCCTGCTATGCGGGTGATGATCTGCTTCTGGATTGAAACCCTGCAGTTCGCCAGCTGATGAGGCAACAGAGCTGGTTTTGTGTGATCCTGCAAGTCTAGATTTGACCACTTTTTGAGATTTGCGTTCGTTTGCGGGTTTTTGCGTCCGTTTTGCGGGTTTTTGCGCCCGATTTGCGGCATTTTTGGGGCGCAATTTTCCGCAAAAAACAGCAAATGGTCAGACCAAAGGTTCCAATTCCTGTCCCTGTGCTGGCTCCACTTCTTAACGACACGAAATTCAGGATTCGCAACAAAGCTAGGCGGTGCCTAGAGCCGCAGGCTCAGCTGCCCCGAAAATGCTTCACAGGTAGGAAACGCACTGTTTTTACAAAAAGTGTTCGTTTCTCAGAAAACTGCTCGATTGTGACAACGACCAGTTTTGAAGGCCACTTCCAGCAAAAGTAGTCGATGTCCCAATTGATCAAAAATAAGTGACCGCTTGACGCTGCAGGTGTGGGAAAACCTGTGTAGTTGTGACTGCGAAGCGTGGACTTGTTGCGGCCATTGGCTCAGGAGGCCAGTCAAGAACCTCGTTTGTTTGGTCTTTAAAGAAAGACGAAAGGATGCCAGCAACTTAATTATTGGGTTCCCCTGCCATTGTTGCAAACACCCAGAGGCAACAGGTATTGACTAGCCCATCTTTGTCAATTTTTCCTGTGGCCACAACTCTGGTCAATTTAAATGTTCTTTGCCATGAAGCTTTCCTGCCCTTGACCCTATGAATGACGGCACATTATCCTGCTTGCCTGGGACTTGTTGGGGATTGTGGTGAATCCAAGCGGGCTTGCACGAAGTCGCAAGGGAAACAGGGGTGCATGTGATTTTCTTCACAGTACCAGGTTACATTCCATGTTGCCTTCAGTTTGGCCGAGGGCGCAGAAGGCGGCAGCTTGTAAAAAGGGCCAAGATAATTTTGTGTCAAAGTAATTAGGGCAACCGGGCAACCCCGAAAAACGTTCACGTTCTCCTTTTGAAATTATTCACCAGGCTCCCGCCTGCTGCCGCCGACCCTCGGCGCATTAAGGGAAAAGTCACAAGGACCGGTCCTGAAACACGTCCGCAAACCCAGGGACCACTTATAAGATCCTCTACGACCACAAACAAGGATTAACGGAAAAGTCAGAAATATGGCAGCTAGTCCGTTAATTACCGCTTGGGCCGGCTTGCGCCCAAGTCACTTCGAGTTGGCCCGGGAGCAGTCGCCTCTCCCGGGGTCGCCCTGAAACTGGCCCTCCCGAAGTTGCCCTGGACCGGTCGCCGGCAGGGACCGGGACACCCAGTCTGGCGCGGCTTGACTCGACGTATTGGACTCTCTTGCAGAATAGATCCAGGGATCCTCTACTACCACAAGGATTAACGGACAAGTCAGACAGATGGCAGCTCGTCCGTCAAAAACCGCACCGGCCGGTTTGTGCCCAAGTCACGTTGAGCTCCTAGAAACAAGGCCGTCGGTGCTCAACCGGTCGCAGGGAGTGACTGGGACCTGGGACCCTGTCCAGTGTCCTGAAACACGGGTGCCAGTCCGGAAAGGTGTCTGGAGCCAGGCCCGGGACCGGCTTCCGTCCCGGTCCTCCGGTCCTGTCCAGGACCAAACCCCGCTCCTGTGAGTGGTCCTGCTGGGACCAGTCCCAGGACCGGTCGGGCCGGTCCTGGGCTTGGTCCCGGTCCTGGGACCGGTCCGGTTTTGGCTGATACTACAAGTAATCTGAAACAGCAGAAAATACTCAGGAAGATGACCATAGTTTTCACAACCCCAAAAATAATCAGCTCAGGTCAAGTCTTTGCACTTCAACTCCCGCGGCCATCCGGAGCTCTCGCCCCAAGACGCTACGAACGACGCCCTTTGATTCCATTTCAGTGAAGCTTTCCGGTTTCCCCTCAAACCATTCACAGGGTCTTGCAGGGTATCTTGTTTTGGGAGGAATCATTTTTTGCGAAATGAATCCCTTGGGTGTGTGAGCTTCTTTGCAGAGTACTTTCGATGTCATAGACCATCCGGGTAATTTTGAGGATGTCAAACTTGCTTGTGCTCCAGAATGTCTCATAGAAACCAGCAATTACTTTTACAGAACAATTGTTAAACCACCCACCAACAAAAACGAGTTGATCTTGCGTCAAAGTTCGTCTTGTGTGTGGTTTTTCAGAATCTGGTGGCCTCCAGCCGTCCCCTGAGCCTTTTAGGAGTGGTAGTTGCCATATTAACCCACTAAAAGTTAAACTTTTGGCAGGGGATCTGAGGGCAGCCCAGGAATGTTATTTTTCTGCAAGGCCCTGGACGAGTTCAACCACCCCCGCCTTCGCCGTGCGCTGATCCTCAGTTCCCTGGCAGCCGAAGCTGAAGCGAGCGGGCTGTGCTTCGAATCCCCAGCTCCTCTGCTTCGATGTGTCGAAGGTCCCAAGGTCCCAAGGTTCGAAGGTCGAAGTCGAAGGTCCTCTTTGGAAGGGGCCGATATGTTGGATTTGGGCGGCTCGTCCCTTTTAGCCCAAAATGGTGGGTGTTCCTCTTGGTTTTCCTTTGAACCCACCAAAAAAGCTGGATGCCCTGCACATCGATATATTGGATTTGGGCGGCTCGGCGTTACCCCCAAAATGGTTGGTTTCTTTCCCTTTGCCGCGCGGGGGGGGGGGGGGGATAGCCTCAAAAAAGACAGCATCATGGTTATACTGTATATACCTGGCTAGACAACCTGTGTGCGGAAAAGAGCTTGGCCAATTGACTCAGGAAGTGAGGAGAAAAAGCCATCGGGTGCTTTCAGATGACCTGATCGCCACTTTGAAGTTGGGTTTTAGTTGGTGTTGCAATCAGACGTCCGGACCTGAGGGCTTCAGAGAGCCAAAGATTTGAACGCAATCCTCTTTTAACAGGGAGCTAGGACTGACCTCGAAAAGTCGTCCCCCCACCCCTTCAGCTGTTTTTGCCCCGGCTGGTTTTTGCTTGGTGTCACTATGGTGATCAGCCTATGGACATTGGAAATGGATCGTAGGAATGGTTGGCTGAATACCAAGATTGCCGAGAG